CACATCTCTTGGAGCTCTATTTCACCTCTCTGGTGTTGTTCTTGTATTCATCTCATTAATCTAGTTCTTGTCAATTCTTCTTGAACTTCTTGTTAGATCTTGAGCCTATATTTCTTTGTCCGTGACACCATGATAACATTTAGAAAAGAAAAGATGTCTAATATCACTTAAGAAAAATAGAAAAGAGGACTTGAGTACAAAGAAAATACTAAGGATAATATCACTTTAGAAGAGGATAATCTGCAACTTCTAATATACTTATGTCTTATCAAGAGAAAGGGATAATCCACTCTTAATCAAGATTAGACAAAGCTTTGATATTATAAACGCACTCTTGTCAATTTATCAAGGACAGGAATATGATAAAAAAAAATAAACAAGTGAAACTTCTCTCAAAGAAAGATGACAAAATAGAAATAACTTGATATGTATATAGAGAAAGAAACTAGAATGGCTATTGCCAAAAGCCAAGAAAACTAGAGAACCTTGAAACTAGACTAGAAGCAAGAAAGGAGTTGACAAGAGTGAAGAAGGCTTCACTCGTGTCTCTATATATACTATCTAACTAGGAGCTACGTGGCAATGTTCTACAAGACCTGCAATATGTGTTGACTTTGTAGGACACATGCCTTGACTTACAAGGTAAGTTTTTCTACGTGTAGGCTACATAGTTAGCTTGGTCTTCAAGCTAACAACATGTATGGCACATGGCCAACTTGTTGACCATGTTTCTAATCCAAAAAGTCAATTAAAGATACCTATAAAGTCAAAACAAGGTCTATGAAGCTTCTAAGAAGCTTCTATAGTAAATATTATAGAATTTACTTTTACCTATTTTTACTTATTTCTACATATTTATACATGTAATTACTGGCTTACATGCATATGTCCGTGACACATCTTCCTTCTCTAATCTGGATATTAATCATCCAATAGCAATTATTCTTTAATAAATCATTCAATTTCTTTTCACATTGGTAAAATTATAGAAATCTAAGTCTACTATACTCTTATAAATATATATATATATATATATATATATATATATGTAATGTAGTGGATTTTTCAATATTATATAAAATTAGATCCTAAAAATTAAAATATTCAAGACCCTAATCCAATCAAATTCCTAAATCCTTCAATTTAATTTTTTGATTGATTTTAAATTTATAAAATATATTTAAGATAAGAATATTAACAAATCCACAAAATTTCACTTGTATATATACTACAATATTCACAAATTTCTCAAATATATAAGCCACTTTTTATTTCTCAAAATCCAAAGTCATTGAAAACATCTCTCACTTTGAAAAGCTCTTAGAATCTTGATATCTTTCTAAATTATTTAAAATCAATGTCAAAACAACCTTCCATAGGTCTTCTCCCTAACATTGCTATCCAATTAGCAAAAACACTTCCAAAATGCCATAGGTACACAATTTTGTACCTTGCGGACTGTTTTTGACCTTAGTTAAAAATTGGTCTTCTTTGGGTATCATTTCTTGGTTTCTTAAGGTAATTTTTGTTACAAACTACTCTTAATTCCTTCCTAAAGATGCCTATATTATTTATTTTTTTATAATATATATTTTTTTATCTTATTTATGGCGGTACAAAGTAAGTAGAAGTCTTTTTTATAAAAAGATGGCATTAACACTAAAAGTTTTACTATTGTCATATCTTTCATCCCTATTTTTTTCTTTTGTTTTTCAATTAAGCTCTTCTATAATAGGACTCATATTTTTATCTTTTATCATATATCCTTTTATAACACAACACTTCTAGATAGACATTGTCTTTTTTACTACATGGACACTTCCTTACAATTTTTTTAAATAGCTCAAAATTATTTGTAAAAAAATAACTTTTTTTAGACTGATATTCATTTCTGCAAGTTGAGATCATAATTTTGTAGTTTAATTTCTTTATCATTGAACATATATCTAAATTTTAATTTGTGATATCAATCATTTAGTCACAAAAACAAGACATCAATATATTTATATTTCATAATATTTTTTATAATCTTTTTCATTAGTAACAATATAATCATAAAAAAATATACAAATAGAAATAATATTATTATGTGTATGGAAGGGGTGTCCATGTAGTAAAAGATAGATGTCTATCTAGTGGTTTTCTTAAAATAAAAATAAAAGTAAATCTGAATTTTAGAATGAAAATTCTTTTTAATATATTAGCATACAATGTAAAAAGTATTTCATATTTTTATTTTATGAAAAATATTTTACATTTTTATGAAATGATATTATTTCATCAATACTAATGAAAAAATATTATATAAGCAAAAAAAAAATCATTTTATTAACACGAATTAAGATGCTAACTAATATTTTCAGTATGCAAGATCATATTGAAAAGTGCCTAAAATCCTCAAAACCAAATACATTCAACCTTTAAAACTACAAATCTTACATAAACTTAGATTTTTTTTTTAATTTAAATAATCCTTTTAAAATAAGAGTGGACTATAAAGTCTCAATAATAAAGTGCCAATATCAGTTTTAAAAGTTTCATTTACCAAATTATGATCTTAAACCTGGATGCATGCCTAATCATTTTATTTAAGTATAATTAGTTACTATTATTATTCCTCAAATGTTTTAAAAATCTAAAGAACCTTTTAAGGCATTGACGGACTATATAAAACCTCTAAATTCAACATGTAATACTAAAAAGAAATTCAGATAAATAATTAAAATTACCCCAATTTAACTTCAAAACATGAACACATAAATAAATATAAAATATTTTTTCTTTTTTTCTTTTATTCTTTTTTCTTTTTTTTTACTGTAAAGCATTGCCAATTGCTGAAGAAGTCAAATCCAAAGCCAAATATCTTTGTTCCACTTGAGGAATGTTCTAAATCGTAGCCTCCTTTCCAGCTGATTTCACTAAAAAAAAATAAAAATAAAATAAAATAAAATAATTAAGGTCAACGTTGACCAAAACTCTGGTGGGGTGGAAATGACAAATCCATACCATTTATATATATATATATATATATATATGTGTGGGGGGGGGATTTTGAAGTCATCCTTGTAGACTTCTAATCCTTCCTCCCACTTGTGTGGTTTTTAGCATTTGAAAGGTTATTTTAATCTAATGCAAATTTGTGTCTATTTTGTTGAATAAGGAAAAGAATTATAATAATAATTTTAATATTTATAATTATTATTTATATAAAAATTATAAATCTATATAGTGTTGCTTCATAATTTATTACATATCTTTCTTTAATTGAATTTGATGGAATATGTAGTGTTGCTTCATAATTTATTACATATCTTTCTTTAATTGAATTTGATGGAATTGTTTTTGAGTTTGGCTAGAACATCATCTACTTTTGAGTTTGAAATTCTAGCCGGCATCCTTGAACAGACCAGTTCAAAAAAATTGTTGTTCAATAAAGCTTGTTGACTTCATGACTAGATGCATATGATAAAAAATTACCGGATGAACAAAAACATGCAAACACTCATGATCTATTTGTAAACAATTCAAGACCATTGCCTATTTTGAGGAATACTTTTTGGGGTACAAAGCCTCTTTATCATTCATCATTGCATGTTTTTTCAAATTAGTTCCATAATTGAATCCCAGACACATGCAATTAGATTTCTCAATAAAAAAAAATAAACCACAAGAAGAATCAAAACAAAAAATAAAAATAAAAAATAAAAATCATCGTGATACACAAATGAACAAGGTAGTCATTGAGTTTGATACAGTGCTGTAAACATGCCACAGTCAACCTCTCGTTTTTTTATAATCCGAAGACAATTATTGAAGGAGAATCCAATCAAAAGTAACGTAACTTGACTCAAACAAAAAGAAACAAAACAACACAAAATCATCAAAGGTCGAGAGCCAATGCAGAGCAGCCGTATTGTGTGTGTGTGTGTGTGTGTTTTATTTTTGCACAGGTATCAAATAAAAGAGCACATTCTTGGAGACTGGGAAAGCCAGGGGCATTGACTCGGCATTGACCTGGCGTTGACTACATAAGTCTTAATTTTCTTCCTTAACTGGGGTCTCATAATGTGGCTCTGGGACTGTGGAATAACCCCACGTGGAAATCACTCTCTACCGACAGTCACAACAGGCATGGCAAAGCTTGGGACCCACTTCGATGTGTTGGGCTTTTGCTAAGCCAGAGGTTGCATCGATGTGTGCTTGCGTCGCTAGGGAGACCTGTAAGCTCATGAACGCAGTTGCATTGACATGGCAAAAAAACCAAAGAAAAGATATGTGAAGAAAGTGAAGCATGAAGCAAGCGAGAGAGAGGGAGCAAGCGGGAACAGGGATAGTTTCTGTAGGGTGTTATTCTTTGCACCGTTGCAGGCATGGCACCCCTCCTTCCCACCCTCGGGAAGGAAGCCTGCCATCCACTGCTCACAAAATAGCTCCTCACGCATCTCATGCTCCAGGCTGTGAGACCTTCTGCATGTCCTCCACCTAACACCGTGACCAGACAATGGTCTTGGTGAATTCTCCCTTCTCTAACCACTCACTCACTTTCTTATCCATCGGGACGAAAATCATACAATAGTGATATTAGGGGCTCGAGTATCGAGCTAGCGGTGTGATGATTGTAAGGGAAGAATATGCGCCGGTGGAAGGGGAATGATTGAGCATCGCCTCCCCGCTCTAGCAGCAGGTCGCATGTTGGATTACATTCTGCAGATGTAAGTGGGCAGGAAAAGTCCACTGAATCAGCGGGAGAAAGTGGGTTAAAGTTCGTACTTTGTAGCAAAATTCGTACCTTTATGTGCCGAATTGGCTGCACAGTACAGTGTTTTGCAAAGTGTAAAGTTGGGCATTGTCGGGAAAGCGAGCATTGGAGATTCGATGAGCTGCTGCAACATAGGCCGCGACATGGCCCCGCGTGGTTGTCAGGTCCTGGTTAGTGCTGTTGCACCAGAGAAATATAGGCTGTTGAATTTGTCGTCCTCGCTACTACTGTTTCTTGGGGATATTGTAGGGGCGAGGAAGCATGACCGGTTGGCTTGGAGGCGTGCAAGTAGGCTGCCTCCTCCTGGCTGCACTGGGTCCCTCCGTCTAGGCTCTGCTGGGAACTGCTGGCAGATCATGGGGATTACAATCATCAATCATCAGGAGGAATTCCGCCCAGAGCAATGAAGAGACTCGTGAGAAACGGGTGTGGCATAGACAGCCACTACAAAGGGTGGACAAGCGGTGGAATCCAGTTATAGACGAGTTGTGTGCGAGTTGAGTTTCTGCCGCAGATGTAGTATATATTTCATCTTTGCCAATGCTTCCAAAAACTTCAACTGCCGAATCATCGTCTTGTTCTGGATCTCCATCCCTTCCCCTCATAAGAGACTTGCTGTACCATTAATACTCCCTGCAGATGCAACGTCTCAGAGCCTGTTAACCTGCGATCCCACACTTGCCGGTATTGCTCTTCTCATCATTCCCTTACGCCCTCCTTTCATATTCTGCCGCATGATGCACGACGCTAGGGTGTTTTGACTCTTCGCTTCGGTCAGTTCTCTCAAGCAGCATTTTTCTTCCCTTCTCATTTGCTGCCTGGGTCGTTCACGTCTCGTGCCTTCTCTATTCCCCCTCTCTTCTCGTGTTCCCCTCCCCCCCGCGTAAGGGAAGCTGCTTTCCTTTTCTTTCTATGTGGTGGATGCGTCTAAAGGCAGCAAATCCACGCAGCCTTGATTTTCTTCGATGTTCCTTTGTTCACTCAGGGATGTGCCGGATGGGTTGCTCAATCTCAGCTTGCCTTGACGGCCAATGAAGAAGGTTGGCCAGGTGCTAATATGCGGAGCCGCCCGAGAAGACTCTGTTTCTGAGTGCATGCTTTTCTGTCAAACGGTGCATATGTGTTCAGAAGACAAGTCAGTTTTATTATGCTGATGCTGCTTGAAGCGCAACAAGCGGGCACTCAGGGTTGCGATGTGATCCCGTACTTGAAGAGTGAAGTACACTAGCGGAATACACTACGATCGCCACTGAGCACACGAGCTGTGAACGGAGCGCCAATTCAGGAGACGATTGAGATCAGAACTTCGGGATTTGGCTGAATTTTTTCATTGCATGCATCTTCTTTGAGTTTTGGGCAAATGAAAATGTTTGCCCGCAAGTTTTCGAAACAGTATCACTTGAGAAAGCCAAGAGCAAAATATATCTACGTGTGCTGTTCCTTGAGTTTCCTCTTAATCCTGATTACGGGATGGTCTCGACCGCTGCCCACTACTCCTACTTCCGCTGCCTCGATGGCCGTCGAAGAATCTATCCAGCCGGAACCGAAATTCCTTTCTGTGTCAAAGGAAACCCTGCTAGCGGAATCCCAGCCTCTTCAATCCGAGCTAGCAGAAGCGGAAGGGGAACATCTTGAGGAACCGGGATCAGACGCTGTTCGATCTGAGAAACTGGAAGCGAAACAGGAACGAGAAGCTCGTCGATCTGAGCATATGCAAATGGAACGGGAGAGAGAAGCACAACAATCCAAGCACGTGGAAGTGTACCAGGAACAGAAAGTGGAACCAGAATCGCTAGTAAAAAACGTTAGGGCGCTTGAGAACCCATGCGATGGTCGCCGTGTTTACATGTACGATTTACCATCTACAATGAATACCGACATTCTCAAGAACTGTAGCGGGAATCTTGTGAAATGGTTAAACTTCTGCCCACATCACAAGAACCACGGATTCGGCGCGGTGGTGAACGCTACTGTTGAGGTATTTCGCCAGGATTGGTATGGGACAGATGCATACATGCTAGAAGTGATTTTTTATGAGCGAATGCAGACATACTCGTGCAGGACGTCGGATCCGGCAGAAGCAGATTTGTTCTTCATCCCCTACTTCGCTGGCCTGGACGCCCTGCCCTACCTCTACACTGACAGCAAGAGGGAGCTGCAGCAAGGCAGGGAGGTCGTGGAATGGCTGGAGGAAAATGCCCCGAAGACGTGGAGGCGGCACGGGGGCCACGACCATTTCTACATCGCTGGGCGGACCGCGTGGGATTTCTGTAGACCGTTGACGAAAGTGAACTGGTGGGGCACTTCCCTGTTCAACAACCCAGAGATGGAAAATACAACGGCGATGGTGCTTGAGCGGCGGCCGTGGAGGGACGATGAGGTGGCCATCCCATACCCAGTTGGCTTTCACCCGTCCACGAGCGCTACATTGCATTCGTGGATTGAAGTGGTGCGATCATCGCCTCGGAAGCATTTGTTCTCCTTTTCAGGTGCATTGCGACCGCATCTGACCATTAGTATTCGAGAGATCCTTTCGCGGCAATGCTCTGAGGCCGGCAATGCGTGCTCCCGACTGGATTGTGGTAAGATAAAGTGTAGTCACGAACCTGAGCCGATTTACACAAGTCTGTTGCAAGCTACATTCTGTTTGCAACCGCGCGGGGACACGTCCACTCGGCGATCTGTGATCGACTCCATCGTGTCTGGCTGCATCCCTGTGTTCTTCCACGAGGACACAGCCTACACGCAGTACCACTGGTTCTTGCCTAAAGACTATGAGAACTTCTCCGTCTTCATCGACGAGAAGGACATGAAAGACGGTAATGCCGACGTGAGCAAAATTCTGGGTGCATACACGGCGAAGCAGGTGGAACAAATTAGAGAGCGCTTGATCAAAATTATCCCCAATGTGCTGTACAGGCATCCAGAGAGCACGGATCTGGCGGAGTCCATGCGGGACGCGTTCGATTTGACACTGGAGGGAATGGCACGCAAAGTGGCACAATTCAAATTATCCACTGGACGCGGCATCGCCACGCTTTCATAAGATTGTTATGCATTCATTATCTCATTGCTGATGCCCCTCTCATCTCTAAGTGATACAAAAACTGTGATTGTTGTGTGTCGGCAATGGTCCGAGATGATCTTTATGAGGTGTCATCTTTTTGGGGAGGTAAGAGACCTGAGAGGATCAACGGCAAGCATACTTGAAAATATGAGAATTCCTTAAGCTGGGGCCCGATTCTGTGTTCTGCACGTTGAAGAGGAGTTAGATTACAACCTAGTACAACAGAAAAGTTCAAATAATTTGTGCATGGGTCAACATTGATCAGTATATATGCGGGAGTGTTTGAAGGGTAGTGATTTTCACGTTTACACAGAACCGATGGCTAATTTCGCCGTTCAGAAGAAGATTACGAGGTTTTCAAAGGTAGTTGGCATTCAACAAGCCCGTTCCACGTAGGCAATACAGCGTATCTAATTCCCGGAAAAGGATATCTGGCTGTGGAGAGGGTCGTTATGCTGCTTAGAGGCTTAAGAAGTTCGTTTTACCTGGAGTTTTGGTCGCAGTTAAGTAGCGTGTAAGCAGCCCGAGAGATACTGTACTAAGAGTTCTGTACATGGTTCTATGGCTGTACAAATCTTTGTAAGTACTGTAAGATCGAGAAGTTAACATCATTGTGAACTCTCCTTTTTAATGAATTTATTGCAGTGTTCAACACAAATTCAAGAGAAATGTGAACTGGGAACAGAAGCAGAATTAGCGAGTGAAACAGATGTACCCGTAAGTATTAGATTGTTCTCCACCAGAGACTTCATAAAAATTGTTTTAGCCAACAGCGGGAACAGATTCAGTCTCTCCTATGCTATTCTCTTCACTAGATCTGCTAGGGTTTTGACCCATATGCTACCCAGCATTGTAAATGCTTCTATGCTCATTACGTACACAATTGCGATGCAAGAAACACATGAACAGATTAAAATTACCAACTTCGTGCATTAACATCTGAAAGAAATCGCGAAGAAAGTGAGTTTCGCCACGAAATTGAGTTTCGCAACGAATTCTGATCAATGATGAGAAGCTCTACAAACTACCAAGTTATGCTGTGACGCCTTCTCATGCAGTAGAGATAGAGTTGTGCCTACATAGCCCTTGGATGGACAACAATGACCCGGCCAAAAAACCGTGACATATCCCGGTAAGGAAAACCCTGGAACGCCTCAGAATAGCGTTCAAAAACAACCGCGTAGAGTAGGAAAATGCATCATTTCTGAACACCAAAGTGGTGTGAAAGACCACAGATTGAGTTCGAACACTGGTAAATCTGTAGGATACGACGAGTCATTGACTTATGCTTTAACGTTGGGCCTCAACCTAACACACTACCTGCACAAATATGAGCAACAATTTATCTTTCCTCATCGTCATGTGAAGACATCGACGAACAGAAAATAAATAAATGAAATTTCTACCCTCCTCGTAGCCTCTAAGTACCCAAGGAACAGCAACAACAACATCCAATCTGTTGGGTGAATCTGGTGCAAACAGATCTCAACATTCCAAGAGCATGCTAGTTCACAAAAAAGTAAATTCAACTCCAACTTTTCATTCCTTACATCGCATAGGTACCCTGGTTGAAACACATTCACTAACTGACGAACTCTCAACATTCAGATCAAGTCGGCCCCTGTCTAGTGACGTTGGCATTCTGACAACAAAAACTTCACGTCTTGCACTCGAGCATTATATGCGACATGGGAATTAGCAATCCATGTCGCATGTGTCGTAGAGAGTGAAGCCGCTAAACACGACATCCAATTCGCCTCCTCAACCACATAATTTGAATCACACTCTGCTCAGACATTGCATCCTAAGAATTGAAGCAACTAGCAAATTTCAGCGACAGTAAAAGAATTTGAAGCAGTTGTAGTTTACTATTGCAAAAATTGCACACATTTTGCCTGAGAATCTCAAACCAATATGCAATAATAGAATTAGTCATTATATAAGGAATTAATTAACATTAAACCAAGTTCAATAACATCCGCTTTTACTTTCGTATTAATACATGAGCTGCAATTAGCAAGAATAGTTGTAATCATTATATAGTTAATATCTAAATTTTAAAACTTTTCAACTTTTAGTTCTATGTATTAATTGGGCACTTTGAAGAAAGAGGAGTACTTTTAAACTTCAACCAGCCAAAACATCCTTTACTTCAAGAATAATATGATAAAGCAAATTATTGGTGTGTAATATTATTTTTATATTAAAATTAATTTTTATTATTAAAATAAAATATTAAAATATACATTTGGATCTATGTTACCTACCAAAACAATGAATCCAATGGCATAAGGTTAGTAATGATAGGGAGTAGTTAAGAAAGTCATTCATAATGCTACTACTAAAAATGGAGACATAGCTTGACTTCAAGCAAGGAAGGTAAACTATTTAAAGTTCAAGTAGTCACCGCATTAGGCAATTGTGAACAAGTGTAAAGAGTATGATGGTAGTGGACACAACCAAACTCAAGATAGAATAGCACTAGGCCAAAGGACATGTATTTTCAAAGTGTGAAATAAACAAAGTTTATTACTGAAGTGGTGTGCATACTTCTAATTCTTGACATTTTATAGAATTTTGTCTTATGCTTGTTTATAACCTCAAAAGCTTAAGTAACCATCTCATGATAAGAATTTATCTTAAATAAATTAGTTGAATGCTTCTAAAGTTTAAAATTTAAAAATATTCACTCATTTTATTCTATCTTTATTCTATTTTTATTCTATTTTTGGTTTAAAAAGAATTACTTGTGTGTATTTTATTATTATTATTTTAATTATTCATATGTGATATTTAAAATATATGTATTTTTGTGAATTTTGACTATGTTATTTGTATCAAGATTAATTATTGTTGTCAATGACAATATAATTAAAAATAACAGCAATATGCATTAATTGGTGACACTAGCTATATAGTTTGTAATTATATATTGACTTCTAATAAGAAACTACCTTGCATGCATGCATGCATACACTTCTAAATTTAACATGTAAAATAATAAATAAATCATAACATCCAACAAATTTTAATTGAGATTGTTGCAAGGGACACTCTTTTTTAAATAAAATTCTAATTAGAAATAAAACTTGTAATGCAATATATGATAACATGATAATTTACTTTTCTCAACCTAGATGAGATGTGACAGCAACTTTATATGCAATCAACACATTTCATATATACAAATAAGCATATAAGTACATCTCAATTTAATAAAAATATTTAACTATATATATGCAATAGTAGACAAATAAACATTACATAAAATTATTATTATTTTGATCTATTATGCAACTCAAATTAGTAAAGCTATAATCCTAATATATATATATTCTTAAAATAATATGATTTGCTAAACAAAGTTTCATTGTATGATTGTTGACACAAATAATGTTAATCTTATTTGATATAAAATATTTATTGAATACTATTTCTATATTTTATAGGAGTATTATAAAATCAAATCATACTATCTTTATTTTTATTTATAACTAATACACAATCAATATAAAAATAGTAATTATTTTATATATAATAATATTATAAAAAATTAATATTAAATAAATAAATATAAATAATAAATTAATTTAATAAATTATTAAATATAAATAACATCTAGATTATTTTATCAATTATAAAATATAATAATTAAGTAGGAATTTACAAGGGCAATAGAAATAGTCAAAACACCTGAATATTGTGAGATATAAAACAAATAATTTTTCTCACATAATTTGTTGATAGAATAAAGTAAAAAATACTTTAAGAATATTGTAATTGTTGCTACAAAGTAGAATTATACAACTAATGCACATTCAAAAGTTGTATTACTTATTTTTTAAAACAAATTATAAAATTTAATAAATAAATGAAATAAAAACTATTAGATGAGCATTTATTTTTTATTAAGTGAATGTGTCTTCTTATGCAATACCTACAATACACTAATGCCACAAGTTTTTCAACAAGCTAGACTCCAATGAAGATAAAAGGCATGAAAATAAATAAATAAATATATTCATCAAAAAGCTAAACAAAAGCAAACAAATAAACAAAGGTGTATACATAACAGTTTTGCTAGATGGACATCTCCCTTTTATTATTTGTTTTGTTTGTTTTGGTTAACATATGTGTTGCTAATATTCTTATGATTAGATTGATTTATTATTATTATTATTTTATATATCTTTCAACTTTATTAATGTACAGCTTGTTAAAAAAACATGTAGAAATAACAGATTGTTGATGTGACACTAGAAGGTGTCCATGTATTAGAAGAGGGATGTCCACTTAACAACTCCTAAAAAAATAATAAAGCTGTGAAAGTTCCCAAAAAAAATAACTTAAAAATAATAATAATAATAATAATAGCTACAAAAATTTAACTAAAGGGTGTACGTTTTTGTATTGAGTTTGTGTCAGTAGTTCACAGAAAACAAAGATCTTACTTTGAAACACGACGAAAATTTGAAAAATTTACCTAAATTAGAACATAAACAGTATTCAAAAAATATTTTCTAATGTTTGCATTTAAATATTATTCCAAATCTTGAGATTCAGAAGGAGGCAATGCACAGACACCAAGGTAGGCGCGACACTCCAGCGCAATGTAAATTTAAACCAGTCAAGTATGAACAACAACCATGTTAAATATATGCATGTGTATATTTACATATGCTCACACATGCAAAACTATCCAGGGGGTGCAACAATCCCAGGTCGTTACCGTGAAACCCGAACTTGTTAAACCATTAAAAATTAAATAGTGCAGCGTTGACCTCACACAGACCCCCAATCATGACTATGAATTGCCAAGTCAGACCTATGTGAGACACTGCATCAACTACGATAATAGACAACACTTAATCCAGTAACTAAATTTGTTTTTACTAGCTCGTTACGGTTCGAATCCCTCCAGCGACACACTCTGCGGAAGGGAGTAGGTGGCCATGTGCACTGGAATCCCTTACAGAACGTTACCGCGTTGCTGCAACAGTTCTGGTATCGAACTCGGCGCGATGAAAGTGAGGGTGATTGCTTCAGCGGAACCAGAAGTTGATGCCGTGCACACAACAGTGCGATCAAGCCTCTGCTCAGAGTTGGCCATCGCTAGCAGGTGCAGATGGAGATCTGAAGAATTTCTAGACGGACCCCACAAAGGGTGGATCGTGCACCCCATATGCGACATGGCAATCACTGTCTGGGAAACTCGGCAGTGTGATGGTGAGAGCGCATTTGGGGGTTCAGGGGGTGTTTGTGGGGAGACATTGGGGGCCAAAACTTTTCACCTGGGACGAGCTTGTATCTGAATAAGTTCCGATGCTGCACTGTTTGGAATAAATATGCCTGGTTGGTGGCACATTAGGTGATATGGAGTCGAACTGTTACACAGGTGAGAGAAGTATGAAAAATCTACAACTGCGGCACGCCACTGTGTCGACCTGGACAAGAAGCGCAGTGAAATATAGCCTCATGTCATTTCAGAAGCAACCTGTGATTTCAGTTTTTTTCTTTTGGTAGGTAAAAATTTGTCCTTCGACAACTTCGGTGGGCCTCTGACTGAGAACCCTTTCTCACATGGGTGGATTAGTAGTAATTCTGCCAACCTTGTGGTATATTCATGTATCGCATTTGCTCGAGCGCATGAAGTCTATGACAGCAATAAACACGTATTTTATTTAGTTATTTTTAGCCAGCATGTGACATGGTTCCAGTAGAGCAAAAGTCCCTCCACGTGTTGCTCTCCAAACTTTTATTAAGAGAAAAGATCGCTGGAAACTTGTGGGGACTTGTACGCCTGTGAAAATCTATTTGAAATAACTTTGAAGATGGATGCTGGAATGAAACTATCCACCTAAAATAATTTGATTGCTTAGTGCAAACTCATACCGTTCATGTATTTATATTTCACGGACATACTATTGTTATTTTCAAAATAGTCTGAAGCATCTGCATATCATAAACTTGCACATTGCACTTCAGGTACCAGCCTTTATAACCATACTCAAAGCAATTATCACGATAATTTGTTTTGAAGGATGTTGTATTCAACAAACAACTATCAGCGTAGCTCATCCAGCTACCGTAAGTCTGCGGTCTTCTCAAATATATTGAAATGCTAGCAAGCGAACTAGATCTTGTAAGGGCTTCCACATGCATCGATAAAGAAGCCACATGAACTGCATCAATCAAAACCATGTCAGGAGGATTTCTCTGGATAGGTCTTAAGAGTATCGCTTGACAGAGATATCGAATAAGGGTCGATCACAACCTCGCAGTAACTCCGACATGCAAGTTCGGTGAAAATAGAGTTTGGCAAGAAGGGGAAAAGTACTTCGTCGAAGCGTGTCCAGGGGGTTCGGCTTCGTGGCCTCCAGAGTCACAGGAAGCAACGGCTGTCAAATAGTATGAAGAGTACCGTAGTCGTCAAGTCAGTAGCTATTGTCACGGTCGTTCTCGTCCCTCCCATCCAACCACCTGCTGTTTGAGAGTGTCCGGGTCGCTTGGACTCGCGGGGCTCGATCAGTAGAGTGGAGGATCCCTTGGCACTTGTGTCTTGCTTTCACCTGACCTAAACCGAGGGGATTTGTTTCAGTTTTATTTATTTTTTATTTTTTATATCTTTCGTCAGTCGCTGGTTTGTCAGCACTCCTGTAAAAATGGATCACCCTCACAGAGCTTCATTGTTGGCTTTGTTGATAGTGGTGGTGTTAGCCGTGAGCGTTAGCTCAGCCGAAGGACAGTTGGTATATAGGTATTACAAGCAGTCATGCCCGAACGTGGAGAAGATCATTCACAAGGAGGTCCTGAAACAATTCAAGAAGGACCCAACAATCGCTCCAGGAATCCTGCGTTTGATTTTCCACGATTGTTTCGTTCGAGTAAGTAATCACATATTCTCAGCCACTATAGTCACCATGCTCTCCAAGCAGGGGTTCAACTCTCCCATTTTGAATACAAGGGTGCTACTTGCTTTCCGGTGGCATTCACGTTCGATGGTTGGAAATATCACTCATCTGCAATCGTATCCACACGTAGATTTCTACTGGAATATTGTCATGAATGGCAATGTCATGATCCCTGGGATTATCTTTTAATTGCAGGGTTGCGATGCATCCGTGCTCTTGGCTGGAAAGGACACTGAAAGAACCTCCTTAACCAACGCTAATTTGCATGGATTTGAAGCCATCGACGCTATCAAGGCTGCAGTGGAGAAGGCTTGCCCCAACACCGTCTCTTGTGCAGATATTCTGGCTTACGCTTCTCGCGACACGGTGAGAATCACCGGGGGATCAAGCTGGAAAGTATACGGTGGACGGAGGGACGGGTTGATCTCTAACGCTGTCGAGGTCGCGCAAAACTTGCCTCCCTCCACGGCCAAGGTTCCCGAGCTCGTTGCCACATTCGCACAGAAGGGGCTCACTCCGCAACAGATGGTCGACTTATCTGGTACCTACTAGAACTCATTCTCCAGCGTTCAATTCTCCCAAACATATCGATCTATACTGAGATCCGCTTCGAACACATTTCTGAATCCGGAAAAATGCAGGTTCCCACACGCTCGGGGTCACACACTGCGTCCACCTCCGAGACAGGATCTTTACACCCATCGATCCAACCATGCCCAAGTCACTCTTGAAGCAGCTGCAACGGGTGTGTCCGAAGATCACCAGCCCAACTCCTCTTGTCATCGATCGTCTAACCCCACACAAGTTCGACACTCAGTATTATCAGAACATTGCGAGTGGCCAGGGTCTGATGACTTCGGACCAAGATCTGTTCAACGACGACAGTACCCGTCGCTTTGTGGTGAAGAACTTGAAGCACGGCAACTTCATCCACAGGTTCGGAAAGGCGATGATTGCCATGACCAACATCGAGCCCACCATCGCTCCTGATGGTGAAATCCGGAGGAGATGTCAGTTCCTGAACTAGAAAACTGATCATACACCGAAACATTCTTTCCTACAAATCGATTCTATTCTTCGTGCCAGTTAGTGTGTAAGGTGTCCTGGTACACTTCCATTTTCTTCGTTGATCTTGTGACCCATCTTTAATGCTACATACTTTCTCATTCTTTCTGTAGTTTGGATTTCCTGGATCCGATAATTTGCCCACTAAAGGTGGCATCAGAAGCTTTGGAATTTCATTAAGGTCATACACAATCTCTTTCTCTTACTAAAGGTCTGGTCTTCAAAACATGTGCTGTAACTACACAGATTTTGATCATTTGCAGCTCAAGTTTATATAAACTATATGTCCATGGGTTGTGTATTAGTGCACAATTGATAGAATGTCGACAGGACACGCCCCTTTCGTGTATCCTGCTTTGTATGTAAGTAATATTAATATGCACACCCTAGATATTATAATGTAGTGCAAATATGTCTCGTTCTTGTCTGATTCTAGAATGAAACAATTCGATGAATAACTATCGTCCAATACATGAATTTTGTACTGAAAAGTAAATATACTAAAGAAAATGTAGATTGTAATTTCATATATTTATCTAAGAATAACAATGAATTTTAAAATAAATGCATTCATGTTCCAAAATTTGATAGCTTTTGTTTTAGAATCTAAGAATATAGACTTATTTTAATTATTACCAAAATTTTAGTATAAAATATCAATATATGTCTTGTATTTTGTTATTATAAGTTTCTCATGATATATTTGAATTTGATTAAATTAATTAAACTAATTAAATTTAATGGTATTCATATTTTATATATAATTTAAATTTAAAATCAAAAGAAATATACATAAAGAACTTTAAAAGATATTCAGAACAATAGTTTTAAACAACTAACAAATTTAAATAAAAGGCTAATTTTTATTTTCACAAAAAAAATCTTTAAAGTTTTTTAAAATTTATCAATTTTTATACAAGACAAAAAGAAATAAAAATAAAAATAAAGAATTCAAAAAGAAATACGAAAGAAAATTTATATTTAGATCTTAACAGTAATAATATATCTGTACTATGTATATAATTAATTAGAATTAGAATAGAAAATATGTGAACATATATAATTTTCACTTTATTTATTTTAAGTATGTTTAAAATTGATTCTAATGTCCATAATTGTCGAACAAAGATCTATTAAGTTTTACATATTAAACAACATTCATTCAAGTACTTTTAACAAGTTTAACTTAACCTAAAGAACATAAAGATAAACAATAAATAACGTCAACAAAAATTCACTTTTATACATTAATACAAATTGAAGCAAATTTAAGTATTGCCAAAACATCAACAATAAATGTTACTATATGATAGACAAATCTAAATTCAATGTCAAATATAAACTGAACAATAAATTTAAACAACAAAATATAACAGAAATGGCGAACAAGTGCAACAATTAAAACTTGCAATATGAATAACATTATTAAAAAAACAATGAACATCACAAGCAATAATTACACACATATATGTACTAAAATGTACAAACATAGAAATATGTAGCAAAACTTTAACTTTTATAAAAAGTAATATTAGAAGATTTCATAATAGATTTGGATTGGTTCCAAAAAGTTTTCATATGTGCTTGAGATTATAATTTGTTGGATATTTGTACCACATTCTACCACTAATTATGCATCAATGCTTGTGAATTAAGTAATTTCTATATGTTTCATTTCATGTAAGTGACCAGCTTTCAAACTATGCTCAAAAGTGAATTAAGCACGTTTTCATAAGGAATGATTTCTTAAGTACCTACCTTACATTAGTCATATTGAGTAATGCATGTGCAGGCATCTGAGGAAGAGGTCATACGATTTAATTGAAGCTTCATTGGGTGAAGAAATGAGAGAGAGCATCCAAGAGTCATGTGAAGTGTAGCACAGTGATCACTAGCACTGCTAACCTGATCTGTTACAACTTACATTTTGGGATAGTTTCGACAGGGAAATGATTCCGTGTTAGTGATGTGAGCTGGCGTAAATCTGAATACGAACCAATTAGTTTTTTTAAATTCTTCGCTAAAGAATAGAGTACGTGACAGGGAAACACATTTCATCGTAAGTGACAAGTTCTGGAGCAAGAAACGCATCGACTGGAATTCCTTTCAATACACACTAGTCAATATCATCATTACATTGTTATCTCTCCAGCAAAAAATACGAACACGTGTGTTCAATCATAAACGTACTTAGTAAAGAATGAACATGCCTCATTTAGGGATACAACATGCAGCTTTACGCAACTGATTCCATTCGAGACGACACATACCTAACCAGTAATTCTCGGTAGATAAACATTTTTAATCACACTTGAACAAGGATATATGTAATCAACATACCAGATTTTTAGAATTGCTCCTAGTGACAGTTAACCCAGGAGCTCTCATCCAGTCCATCATACAAGAATTAAGGGACAATCCATTCTTGAAGATTCCACAAACTTTCTTTAGAGCTTAAAGCATTCAAACAGGCTTTTAAGATAAAACATAATAAGTTCAACCCAGTTCCTGAATAACGTAAACTTAGTTTTCGCAAACTCTACGAATAAAGCAAGCTCCAGAGACATCTGTGGGCAGGTAAAAAATGCAAATTTGGCGCAGAAGGACGAAACTGCACTGGGCAGGTAAACCAAAGCCACGTCTTTCAATTCAGATGTTTACCAAATTGAACAGAAAATTTAGATGATACCAATCTTGTTGGCCACATCAAGCGCATCGTAATCAGCTGTCAATCTCACATACGCCTTCTTAGCTCCATCAGGCCTAGAAAAACATGTTGAGACACATAGGAAATCAGGGATGGAGTTTCACCTCCGGAACAAGTAAATTGGACTCTGATTAACTCAATCATTGCCGTGATTTCGATTAAGGACCGTATCTCTCGAATGACCTAAAAATTCTCAAAAAGTTAGAAACATAATTGCAAAGGTATCGCGTAAACTCATCGCCACGGCAAGAAACGCCGCGAAAAAAAAAGTCGCAAACTTAGCTGACCAACAATTATCATTTGGAGAACATATGGAAAGTAGGAGACTCCGGGACTGAAACAGGCACCCGACGTAATTACAAGGAGACAACAGTTCGAAAACCCTAAGGCACTTCGAAGGAAATCCCAACAGAGAGGAGGACAATCACCTGATCAATGTGTTGACCTTCTTGGTCTGGATGTCGTACATTTTCTTCACAGCCTGCTTGATCTTCTTCTTGTCCGCACGCACGTCCACGATGAACACCAAGGTGTTGTTGTCCTCAATCTTCTTCATGGCGGACTCGGTGGTGAGCGGGTACTTGAGTACCTCATAGTGGTCAAGCTTGTTGCGGTTGGGAGCGCTGAGGCGAGGGTACTTGGGGGCCCTAGCGCGCTTGAGGGTCTTGGGGCGATGGAATGTCACCGAAGTGCGCACCTTCCTCCACAATTTCTTGACCGGCTTGGTGGTGGTTTTGAGAGCTTTGGCAGCCTTCGTTGCCTTGGCCGCCGGCGGGTTCGCAACCTTGGATGAGGGAGCCATTGCGAGCTACGAAGAGGTCGACGATGCGAGGAGGAGCTCAACGAGGCGGGGTCTCGAAGCTAAAGAGGCAGAGCACTAGCAGGGTTAGGGCTTTACACCCTCACAATTCCTCCTCCTCCGTTTCTCATCCCACTCTTCATTCATCCATGTATCTTCATGCATCCGATTCCTCCTCCTCCCTAACCCTAAAACCTTGCCTGAGTGCCGGTTCTATTTGCACACTGGGGTGAGTTTATCATGGATACCAAAAAAAGGATTCAATCCGCAGGCACGAACACTGAAAGAAAACATCTGAATGAAAATAAAATGTAGAGTGAAATAGTAGCTGTGTTGTTAAAAATCTACTAACACTTTCTGGTGTTGCTTGTGAAAGTGAGATTTTGTTGTATGAAGTGGTAGCTAATGTAGATAACTGTGGTTATTTTATAATATCGTAAAATTTTGGTATGGACAGTGATCATGTAATTCTGCGACGATGGCGAAACACAATTGTTGTGTGTGCGTTCACGATGTGTCGATTCCTGGGGCATGGACCGACGAACTGATGAACTGGTGATGGAGGGCATGAGTGTTGTGAAGAAGCTAGATACTTCCGTCGCAATTGTGGAAACCGCTGATTTACTTGCACGGGATTTCGTTTATAAAGTGAGTTGAGTCTATGCTGCTGTGTAAACGTCTGGATTTTAGAAGCCTAGACGTCGCGGAATCTGGTTAGGTCTGGATACCAAGAAATCTACGGATCTGTGCTCGCTTCACATTGTCAACTGTGCAACAATGTAGCGGCTAAGAAGGACTTGCTGCATTCCATGATCTTCCTCCACGCCTGGGTAGAGCCGAACGCGGGCAATTTCCGTATAATGCAAGAGTGACCTGGGATAGAGTTCTTATTTCGACACACACAACATCGCTGGTCTCGAAACAGAGAGCTGTGATGACCGTCATTCTTGTAGCAATGCGTAATATCGTGCCTTTCAGTTTACAGATCCTGGAGAGGTGATACGTACTCGATGACGGCATTGCAAACTCGGAAACTCCACCTCAACGATGCCTCGGGAAATCTGACCAGCCGCGTGGTGTATTTATTCAATACAGTAATTTTTCTTGTTACCCTGATTGATGGTGAGAACAGAGGGTGAGTTCAACGGGGGAAAAGCTCACTACGTCGAACTCGAGGTAGGAGATCGACTTTCGCTGGATCTAGGTACTGCACCTGTTTGACGATAGCGTCGTCGGAGAATGGGGGCGAGGACGAGAACGTCTTGAACTTGGTCATGCTGATGGAAATCCACGCCGACAATACTGCACGCGGGTGCCATTCTGATGGAGCTTAAATTCTGTTCTTGGGATGTTAAGACGGTGGCGCTCCTGGAACCAGAGATAATCTTCATGGAAGTAAACTCAGAATTGCCAATCCTGCATGAAGCTGCAGTGAAGGCAGCGGGGACCGTCACCGAGGAAGTGGCAACAACGTCGGCCATTGAGCGAGAGTGATCTGTGAAGATGTTTGGCGCTACGTTGCGAAGGGATGCCAATTGGCTTCAGATCCACTTAGAAATTACTTCTTAAACCTGTGGAGGAATTCGTAACGCATACCAGCTTGGTGGGTGGACTTGTCGGAAAGATTATGGCCTCGAATTTTGTACCATATCATCTTGGCCATGGCCGTCTGTCTGCCATGGCCATCGATTTTGTTATCTTCAAAAATATCTTTATCTTGTCATTGGACTATTTTCCACTTTATCCACTTTCTTAAGTCATCAGCCAAGTGGACTTTCTTCTCACTGGCAATTGCTTCGCCCAATGCTTATCATGTGGCGAAACGGAAAACGACGATTGCTCTAAAGAAATCTTGAACATGCCTGATATCGCACCTCGGTGATTATTGTGTCTGAATCTGGATTTTGAACACGGAAATGTATGAATTACGCCATTAGATTAAGTCAAACAGGGCAACTTTCAACTAGTACACTGATGCTGCCTTTTTTTCAAACAGAAGCATGGAATTGAGTTACGACGGCGAGCATCATTGTGGCAAGGGAGAGTTTTCTCGCAGTAGAGACTTTTCTTTGTCTCCGAAGCCCACCACGAGCATTGATTGCACACGTGCATTCGTGAGCTTGGGGCTGGTGGGAGACATTAGCTATCCTCTCTGTTCATAAATTTGGCGCTTTCCTCCGGGTTATTTGCACACAATCCGCTCAAAGGGAGTGCAGGTTGCTATTCTCACCCCAATCCAATTTGATTAATGCTCTATTTTCAGTTCCGAAATTGTTGTATTTTGTAATGAACTCTTATTCACGGTATTAATTCCACTTGCAAGGTCGCACATTAAGGCAAGCGAATTAACTAGGGATCCGGTTCAGCAGCGTTCGTGTGCATTCGGTAGATCCAATTAGGTCTTCTGGATATTGTGATAGTTAATACACACAATTCTGATGCGTGTTCCCATCTATTAGCAATCTGTTTGTATTATTGTTGAGCCTCTACAAACCCTAGAGGAGAATGGAAAATTACGGTTTTTGGTTTGTTATACACACTGCGTGCTCCTCACAGTTGTTTGAAGACTCATTGCAAATAAAGTGGTCAAGTCTGAAAGATTCTGCGAAACTTTATTTCTTTGTGACACAGCATAGACTCCATTCCTCGAATATTGGACTGAGGAGTAGATTATGTTCATCGAAGCGCCTCAGAAGCCTAAAAGTCACTTCAGTTGCGATTGCGACAATCTTATGACACATTTGAAAGTCTTACTATCTAGAGGCTTGTTGCATTCAGCTGAAGGTTTTATTTTCTTTATTTGGAATTGCAGCAGCATATAAAATAATCAGAGGTGCCACTTGCACAATTGTAGCTCAAATTAACCATTGTTTCTTTTTCTTCTTTTTCTTCTTCCTATTGATTTAAATTTTTATGCTTATTGTTTTTTCCTTCGGGACATTGATGTAGTTTACATTTCTTATTGGTCATGCTAGGGTCCATTTGTGAAGAATTTAAATTTTCACTGTTAGGAGCAGCAATGGAGCACCTTCGAGCATTAGGATTTGCTCATGGAGGAAGTCAAGTTTTAGCCAGTTCGCTGCATAGCAGTTTATTGGCCAAGGGAATCTGCAGATCATTGCAGCTGGGCTACTGTCTCCGGAGTTATTCTCTAGATCCTTCTACTAGACTTCCTTCATTAATTTCCAGAAAGGAATCAAGCCTTGGAAAGAATCGACAGTCAGGTTTTAAGCACGGCCGATGGCGGAAGGGTCAAGTGGAATGTTCAGAATCGAGTATCACAGAGACTTCCACTCAAGCTGAAATTGAAGTTGTGAATTCCTTGAAAGAAGCCGAGAATCAGTCCTCAAGAGCGGTTTCTGGCGACAATGTTCGTTCGGAAGGTGATTCTGAAGTGGTAATCAATGAGGTGGACGATCACGTTCAAGCAGCATTGGAGGAAATTTTGTCAGAGGATACTGTACTAGAAAGTCCTGAGAATACTCTCTTGCGTTCCTTTGAGCATGATGATGTAATGGAAGCAGCTACCAAAGTTGCTGAGGCGTTGGTCGAAACTGATGACGAACCCTTTGTCTCCTTCCCCCTCTTAGAGCCCCTCTCCCCCATGGGAGCTGCTGCAGTCACAATATGGCCTGTAGAAGTGGAAACTACGGAGGAGCTTGCTCAAGAAGAAGTCCAATCTGAAGAGGTTGGATTCATGGTCCAAACTGAGGAGCCAGAGCACTTTGACGCACCCCTCGAGGCGGCTATTTTGGAAGATACTGTGGCAGAGGAAGCGGTAGAGGAAGAGCACTTGCTGGAGCCTGGTGCTGTTGCAACAGCTCTAATGGTTCAGGAGGTAGCAGATGCATTGAAAGTCACTGAGGAGGATGCTGTATCGCATATGATTGAGAAGGAGACGGAGGTTGAAAGGCTTCAAGGAGCTGAGGAAAAGTCCTTGATAGAACAGTTGAAAGATATCTTTGTGTTTGCAGGTCCTGCTTTGGGAATCTGGCTCTCAGGGCCAATTATGGGGATCATTGACACGGCTGTGATTGGGCAGAGCAGTTCTCTAGAGCTTGCTGCTCTTGGTAAGTAACTCGTTTAGTTTCATGTTATGCACTGTTTTCACGATTGAAACTCGATTCTACTCCAGCTCAAGTGATGCTACACACGCACGGAGAATGTTAGATAAACTTTCTTGAAGAATGTAGTACATCTCACAGTTGTCTTCACATATCAAGGCACAAAATGACTAAGTCAAATGTTCCTTGGTTGATTTGCAGGTCCGGGAACCGTTTTATGTGATCAAGTGTGTTATGTGTTTATGTTTCTCTCCGTTGCAACTTCAAATCTTGTCGCTACCTCACTTGCGCACAAGGTTAGTGCTTTCGAAGTGTCCCTCGATGTGTTTTTTCTGCTGTTAAGCTCCTTAAGCACAGATAGATGTTTTAGATTTGCTTATAATTTTTATATTTTACTCACTGGTGTTACTATGTATGAGGATGTAGAGGTTGTTCCTGAAGTAATAGTTGTATTGCAGAATAAGGAAGAGGCAGCACACCATCTTTCTCGAATGTTATTTCTAGCCGTGGCCTGTGGATTTGGTTTGCTGGTTGTGACAGAAGTCTGGGTCAACGAGCTCCTTCAAGGTATATAATTCTTCGAAAGTTGCGGTCTAGCTCATGAGAATTGGAATATTAGTCGAATTTAAGCATTTGTTAAAAATGAAGTATGAATATTTAGTGTTATCTGATTAAATGCTGAGTATGTTTACACGGTCTACAAGAGGAATATGCCACCACTAACATCTCTATTCCAACTTAACCTACGTTGCAATACTGACTCTTGTGGACGCGGTCATGTCTGATGGCCATATTTTTATGGGTATCCTCAGCGTTTGTTGGACCTCAGAATTATGATCTTATACCAGCGGCAAGAATATATGTACAGGTACATATATTAACGGACTGAACTACCCAGATACAATTGCTTCATAAAGCTAAGTAGAGACAAAAACATCTTGATTACGAATCTCAGACATTAGTCGAGTTAGCTGTCGTTGCTTTAACCATTGCAATCGCTCTTCATTCGTTCTGCCATTACAATGAATCAACTTGTTCTTTTATATCTTCCACATCTTTAATTGCATTTTGTTTGTCGTAATCCCGGTTAGAACAGTAGAGATGTTAACAACTATTAGATTTAGAGACTATTTGAACTGAGAGGTTTTGGTATCTGCGTAACAGATCCGAGCTTTGGCATGGCCAGCAGTTCTTGTTAGTCTGGTGTCACAAAGTGCCAGGTGAACACTTTGAACAGACAAGCTACTACTTCTGGTGTTCGAACTGTAACATCGCTATGTTCATATTTATTCTGTGAATGTAGCTCACCGCCGAAGACTATGTAATCCATGTGTTAACACGGGTTGCGAAACAGGATTAACATGTTCCTGGATTGGCCCTGGCAAAGTTCTTTTGTGACTTTTTAGGTATTGGTTTATGCAGGTCTAAATCGAGCACGAAATTTGCTAACCAAACATAAAATTCTGTTATGTCATCACAGTTTAGCAATGATGGATTCCAAAAATCCCTTGAAGGTGTTAGTTATTGGAAGCCTGTTCAATTTGGTTGGGGACGTCGTTCTATGTTCGTTTCTCGGTTATGGCATTGCAGGGGCAGCATGGGCAACTATCGTCGCACAGGTAACTTATCAAAAAAATTCATGTGCAGATGTCAGGCTTTCGTAATCCTTCAGGTTGTGCTCCGAATCCTTGTAATGGTTTGATGTAAATGCCTGATTTGAATTCCAAGGAAGAGAATAAATTGTTTAGTGTGACGAAGGAACGAACAAATTTTTATGCTATAAGTATGGTGCAATGTGTGCCCCTCGTCAGCACTTGGAACTTTTCTTTTTTAAGAGATATTACAGTGCCGCACTTATTGGATTCTTCGTTTTGGATTGTTGTAGTTTTTCAATTCCATATTTGTGGCAATTTTATATCTTAAAAAGCAAATTCCTCTTTTGCAGTATGTGGCTGGAATATTAATGGCATTATCACTAAGTGATAAAGGCTATAGTGCCCTTAATATACAAGTACCATCTTTTAAGGACCTTGTATATATTACAAGAATAAGTGGTCCGCTTCTATTGACTATGATATCCAAGGTACGCACTTCTGAAAAAAAAAAAAACTCAGGATAGTCTTAAACAGTATTTTAAGTGTTCAAATAGATCTACCCTTAGTTGTCTTCTCGCAATCGATCCTTGTGTTTTGTAAATTTGTAACCTTTGCCTAAACTATCTGCTGTCAAGAATCACAATTTGTTCCAGAAACAGGCTATTCTACTTTCCATTGAACTCCAATAGCTAGTGTCGTTACAACTTGATGTTATATCTTATCACAGGTCTCATTTTACACTTTGATGACATATTTGGCGACATCTCTAGGAGCTATTACTGTAGCAGCACATCAGGTTCATCTTCCTATGCTCTTGTGTCTTGAATATGTTATGTTCCAAGCTGTATCATCTCCATGATACAATCTCTTCACCAATATAAGTTTGATGTTTTTGGGTGGTACTGTGTCGATTGAAGACTGAAAAAGGATCATGTCAAACAGGTGATGGTTGGAATATATGGCCTGTGCTGTGTCTGGGGTGAGCCTTTAGCTCAAACGGCGCAATCTTTCATGCCTCCTCTTTTGTATGGCTCTCACAAAAATTTGGAGCAGGTAAGCTCCGAATTCATGTCAGCGTTCTACAAGATCCCTTTTCAGTTTCTCTAATGGAGGACAGTCAATGTGACTGTACGATTAAGGACATATTCTATTCCACATAGTTCAATCACAGGGAGGTTGAAGCTGAGGATTTTAGAATTATTACATGTTTTGTGAGCAGTCTCATCTTTCTGTGGGTTCTTTCACCCCATCAACTTGCTGCTTTTGCTATAAAATCTAATTGCTCTCTCTCATCTCCTAGGCACGGAGGCTGCTCAAGCAACTCCTTATCATAGGAGTGGTGGTGGGAACAGCTGTGGGTGGCCTCGCAATTGCTATACCCTGGGTTTGCCCTCGCATCTTTACCACTGACACTGCCATTATTTCTCAGGTTTTCACCATCTTATTGGTCATCCAAATCAATTATTTTTATTATACTATTTTCAGTAGCTTAGCTTTCTCATCCATTTCAATTCATGACTGTTTTGCTTCTTAAAGGTCGTGTGTCCAAACCTTAGCCTTAGCTTGCTCTCTGGCCAAAAGCTCAGGTTACGCATGTCTTTAGGCAAACATGTGGATATAGTTCTGCAGAATTAGCCTTTGTAAAGTCATCATGACTCGACTTACTGTAAAAGTGGTAAGGAAATTAGCAGCTCAACATAAGTCAGTATGTGTACATGTGTAGATGCGAGATGTGACGCTTCCATTCCTGGTCGGCATGATTTCATGTCCGCCTTCGCTTTCTTTGGAGGGGACTCTCTTGGTGAGTAATGAAGTTTTTATACCAATCACTTCAGTATGCTTTTGGTTCCAGATGTTGTGTTAATTTGGTTTCATCTGACCAGTACTATGCTGGAATGATCAGACGTTAGTTTCTTGTCGATACAATATTTTGCTCGATACATCTAGCATATGAATGAAGGTTTACGCAGCGGAGTAATCTGAGGAAACACTGTCTTTGAGATGAACCTTTCGGGTGTAACAATATTATAAGTGATTTTTTTGCAGGCTGGAAGGGACTTTGGTTATCTAAGCTTCAGTATGACAACATGCTTCATTGGTGGAACGGCTCTACTCTTGGTATAAACAGCTGTGATTACCTTTCCGATTCTTTCATGCATCTGATTCCGCATTTTAGACATTATGGAAATTGCAGCTCTCAACAGCTATTGATTAATTAAGACTTTAAGAGACATTGACAACAATTCTTATGGAATTTTCCAAGTAGGCCGAGCAGAATCTTGTGGCGAGGAACTATTAACTGTGACATTCCTTGTAATCCCCGAAAATTTGTGCAGGCTTGCAAGGTGCTTGGCTGGGGGCTGGCTGGTACTTGGTGGACGCTTGCTGCGTTTCAATGGGTAAGTGAACTTCCTCAATTTGTTTTCCAGCTTAAATTATGTAGCCCAATCGGAGATCTCATTGCATGACCCAGAATTTTGTTGTAATGTGTTACTCTTGCATCGTTTTCAGTCTAAGTGTTCATTATCGAGTGCGAACAAAGGATGCTGTAGTGTACCGACACGTTCTAAAGATTAATTCTTGGAATAAGGAATTCACAACACTACAATTCCAATGACCAACTTAGCCACATCGGCCATATCCCTGGTAGGGCAATATCTACGTTAGCTGACGTTGAGGTTATTGTTATATTCTGCAGGCCCGTTTTTTCATGACTTTTGCACGCCTATATTCTCCTAGTAGTGTTTTGGCGGAAACTGGTTCTGACACAGCTTTGAAACCTAAGACAACCTGATATGGCTACCAGCGGATCAAAGACACAGGTCAGGAGCTCAACTGTTTAGATTGTTATTGAGTTAAGACCTTCGACGTATCACAGTACTTTTATGTTATCTATGTATACTATGACGTTTTACCTCGTGCACAATTGCACAAACCTTTTCCGTAGTCAATGTTGAATGTACGTGTAGCTATGTTATCTGCTACACCCTTGTTCATAACAGTATGATTTGTAGAGCCCATTGTTTATTTATCTACGATACATGAGTTGTATATTCACTAGATTTGTGTCAGAATTTCGTTAGCGCTTTGCACACGTATTAAGTTGTCTACGTTGAGATGTGTATTTCCTCAAAACATATATGTTGGGTTGTCATAAATTAGTTCTGGAGCAAGCTAACTTATAAAACAAGGAATCGAGGTTAAAGGTTTTTAGCTTTTTAGTGCTATATGGAAGAAAAGTGTCAAGCTATATGCAGGTTCTTTCACGTTCGATGACACAAATGCCAACATCAGTTAACCAGGCAACAGGTCCATTATATGCACACTTTCTGTCGAAATTACGGCCGGAGTTCATGAGTACAGAAGCCCTTCGAGACATATCCTTACATACCGAAATTAGATAGCGGTCAATTGAGAAAGGAAAACTACAAACCCCTCTAGGCGATAGTAATTTCTTCACTGCAAACAAATGGAATACATTCTCACTCGACATTGAAGAAAATCATGGAACTGAAGTAATGCAGGTGTGGTTGACATCACCCTTTGATGAGCAACCAGACACCCAAGGCTACCTTGCTATGTGTTAGTACAGGTTACAAAGTGACACAAATGAGACACGACAAACGTGATTTCGAGTACATGATTCATAAATTGAAGAGGATATACCCATGATATTCACTCAACCGCAGGAATTGCAGTGCAGAGAGCGTAAAGTTCTATCCTTAATGCTCAGAATTTACTTCTTCTCATCCTTCTCGGCCTGCTCAGCCTTTTTCTTCCGAACACCAACCAACCTCTCATTCATCCTCTCCTGACGGAGCTTGTAGTATCCCCTCTGGGACTTCATCTCATCAGTGATGGACACAATCTCGGCTGATGGCCTTGGTTTCACAATTGGCAAAAATTCACCAGTGGCTTGGGTGACGCTAGACAATTCCTCCGCAGATGCATCTCCAGCCTGAGCACAAATGAACAAAAAAAGAGAAATATCACACACAGGTAGGCGACAGGAATACACGGACAAGGCTCAACATGTTCAAAAGAACTGCAGTATGAAAACTGAAAATTGAGACTAACCAACAGGTCATATTAGCAGGCAATGGGATCGCCCGGCTCTTGTACCCAGAAAATTAATTAATTAATTAAATAGATTGTCTTCAACTTGTACGTAACAGTTTAACGCATCAAGTAGGTTCAAATTTAGTGATGATAAGAGAATGTCCGACAAGAGGACGAGACTGTCTGTAATATCGTAAAGAGACATACCTTCGTCTTCTTTGATAGTCTAGGGAAAACCACCAGCTTCGCTCTGTAGGTGTTCAGCCGGTTAACGTTTTCTTGAAGACTCTCCAAGCATCGGTTCTTGCGTCTATGGTCGACAGCAATACCGATGGTAGGTGCAAGCTTCTTGGGAACTCCTGCAGCCTACAGCCGAAATGAAAAAGTAATAATGCTCACCAAGAGTATATCACACATCTACCTCAATGAACGACTCAACTGGGAACCGATCACCTCCTCAAATGCGGTTCCATTCTAGTTCATCATTTAACGCGTAGCGGGACTCGATACAAGCAAGATGAAAAATCCCATGTAAACGTGTTAAGTACCTTCAACTCCTCTAGAGTGAAGCCGCGTCCAGCACGGATCTTAGCATTGTACTTCAATGTCTGAGAGTGGACGACGGGGCGGAGGGGTCCAGCGGTAGGTCGAGGGAAAACAGCGACAGATTTCTTCTGGCGCGCTGCGTATACATACCACCGAATCCGGTACATTATTTTCGTGACCTTTACTTTCTTTTAACTGAATCCGGCAAGATGGGCCTCACAACTGCAAATTGTGATTAGTGTTCACCAACACATTACAACAATTGTAGGCGCACTGGGGACCTTGTAACTCAGTCAATATTCTATAAGCGTGTCATCATGCACTTCAATGATCAACCTAACCCACGTGTACCATTTTCCAACGACTCTTCCCGAACATCTGAATCTACGTACAAAGTAGGGCTTAGGTACTCAACGGGGATCGCCTTAAACACGCAGACACCCTAGGTCAAAAATAAAAAAACAAATGAAACTCACGCACTAGTTCCATTACAGCAAGCTTCAAAGGAGTGTAAGGCCGTACCTGTTCTTCTTCTTTTCTTGCGAGCGGGCTGGTTGAACCACGTCCTCACATAGTTTTGCCAGTCCTTCTTGAAATGTCCGTTAGGGATGACATTGTTATGCTTCACCATGGTTTCGTCCCTGAGTGGTGATGACCAAAAACTTAGTATACATCAACAACCATGCACACCCCTCAGGAGAACTAGATCGCCTCCCGTTTAGGGGGAAGAACTTTGGACAGACCATCTCCCACAAGGAATTGCACAAGCAACCACAAACTCCTTCCCAACTGGAAGCCTATGAAGCTGTACAATGTTAAGATGAGCGGCGAGGCACACCTTCGAGACGCTCCAGAGACAAGACACACCGAATGGAGCAAGGGAGGTTGAAAGGGCATAAGCCTGCGAACAGGCCCAGGTCTTGCAGCTCCAAACCCTAAAATGAACGGCTCCGGTTTCGTCTGATCGCGCGGTTCATATCTCTTGGTACTTTGTACTCTGCTTGATAGTGTGAGGGCTCCATTTACTAGTGCATGAGAATCAGTTTTAGGGTTTCCTTACAACTTGTTTCTTGAACGAAGAACTTCCAATCACATATTGAGAAATGTAGAAATTTCACCTAGTTGAGAGTTCTGAATATTTTCCAAGCATTTGCAATTTAATTGAAAAACAAAAAGTTGGCTAGAATGAGGAAAGACTTGGAAGTAAACAAATATAAATAGATTTACTATTTTGCAATTTGAAGCATTTTTTTTCTTTTTTCTTTTGTTTTCACCAGCTTTGAATGAGTTGCTATGATTAAAAAAGTAAAAAAAATACAATTCAAAGTGAATTTTATTTTCACTAAAAACTAAATTCTAATTTTATTTGATATAATATTACCATGATTTACAAAACTATGAATGAACTATATTTTATTCTTGTAAGACAAACTACAATGTGTATTGTAGTTTTGAATTATAGTTTGTTTCAAGAGACATAAAACAAGAAACGAATAAAATTATAAAATTTAAATAATTTGAAAATAAAAACACAACTGTGTTTTAAAATGAACAATTTGATTACAAACGATTTGTATAATTTTTTTGAAACATACTTTGTAAAGTTGTAATTGATACAAAAAAAATTAATTAGATTAATTTCTTTATATATTTGTCTCACAATTATTTATGTTATATTACTGTGTGTCTGTGTGGTTTTGTTTTTACAAAATTCGCAATAAAAAAAGGTATACTGTTGTTAATATATTGTGTTAATGGGATTTATTTTGATGACTTTTAGCAATCATGCAAACTTAAAAACAGTTGTAAAAGTTTAGCAGCGAATTTTGTGTTGGAAAACACAAAAATATTAATATTAATCTGCACTTTTAAAACAAACTGCCAATATATATATATATGAATATTTGTGCTACACAAATAGGTACTTAGACTAATAAAACCAACAAAGATATACCTACTAAATACATCAATTTTAAGACTTTATTTTAAAAATAAGATATAAGTATATTTTTAAATTATTGATTGTATGATCGTGCAAACAAAGCACAAGAAAATACAAACTCCATTTAGAGTAACCTACAACTTGTATTAAAAATTGAAATATATATATATATATATATATATATATATATATATAATCAACATTTTAATTTAAAATATAAAGTTACCAGTTGAAATAAATTACTAAATCTTAAATTAATTGATAAATAATAACAAACAAATAAATGAAAAAACAAAACTGTGTGTTGATTATAGGAGACTAAACAAGACTGCAAAAGAATTCACTCTAAAATAATATTAGTATCTAATGTTATCGAATATAAGGCTGTTGGAGCAACATTGGGGAAACAAAGAACTTCACAAAAGTAAACTCAAGAGGTGTTTTTTTACTTTGTTTAAATAATAAAAAGTTACTAACAAAAGACGAATTTCAAATGTGACACAGGAAAAATTGAGCATGTTATGATGTTGTTTGGACTTTTACATGCACTTGCAATTTTTTTAACGTACAACGCATATTAATTTATACAATATCTAACCAACTTTGTAGTCATCTGTTTAGATTTTAACTACAGTTTGAAATAAAATCATCTATACAGTAAGAGTATCCTTACAAATCATTATTATTTTTTTTGTATACCCTATGGTTTAGGGTGATTATTTTGTATACCCTATGGTTGGAATATTACTTATTAACAGTGTGTTTTAATCTAGATAATTTAAATTTTAAACTATAATAATATATTATGCAGTATGAATAATAATTAGTCTTCTTTTTGTAATTTTCTTACAAGGAAAAAATAAAATAAACTATTTTATCCCGTTGTTATAATTATTTCGAGTAGTTCTGATTTGATCTAGTTGTGAGGTTACAATAAAAAAAACATATGTAAAAAATTTGACTTGTGTCGGAGCGTAATGCATAAACTTCCACACACATTCTTCTAAAAGGGATGGAAAGAAAAGTAATCAATATTTAAGTAAAGCTGTACTATTTACTAAGGTAAAATTAAGTTCTTGAATGGAATGAATTTGATGTCAAGCATGACAATAGCAGTACTCAATGTCGCACCATGATATAAAACTTGTTTTTTTGTACTGAACGCGAAGATTGTGCATAAAAAAATCATTTTGGTGATAATATTTTGTACAGTATGATGTATTTCTTATCCTCTCTCTATATACATTCAACATGAGTTTAACAACATTCAAAATTAGGAAAAATACCATGAATTTTTTCTCAAGTAAATATGTTATTTTAAAATTTATTGACATATTATTTTAAGATACGTAAATAAAAATAAAAATATACCAAAAAAAAGAATTCTATGCTTTAAGATTTTATCAATTTGGCATGCCACACAAAAATTTAAAAGATTACTTGAATTTGAAATCTTAAGATTAGCAGAAATTTTTATTTATTTTTTCTGAAAAAATAATAAATAAGAAAGAAATGAATTAAAACGAGAAATACGAAGGAAAGAAGGTAGCAAGCCCGAGATTGTAATCTAATCACGGATTTCAAGTAATACCAAAGTAATTTCAAGTACACACGTTCCCAACTTTGGGAACGTAATTACGACCCAACACGAATGGCGTCGTTGTCAGCAGTTGTGACACTGGATCATACATGTGACTCGGGATCCTGTTTCAGGACCCGGTTCTCTAGGTAGAGTGTGGATATATATGACCTCCACAAATATCTATATATATTCGTAGAAGATCCACAGAGTCTTCGATCTGAGACTTCCACAGAATTTTGGTAGACTTCTCACATCTATGATCCAGCTCTTGGCCTCGTCCAGCCTTGAGCCTTCAGGCTTTTGAGCTATGGGGTGGTCAGTCTTGTGTGTGGGTGGACTTTGGTGCTGTGAGAAGAATCGCCTGTGCTAGTCTGATGATGAGCAGACCTTACGTTGTTGAGTAGTCACTGGGCATGCATGTAGGTTTTCATCTCGCGCCATAGCAGTGTGCCCTTTTCTTTTTTCGCTACAAGTGGAGTAGCATCTTGCGAAGAGCTGGGAGGCTGGGGAAGGCGACCTTGAAAAACAGCTCTCACGGGCACGGGAGCGAGGATTTGCTTGTTGTGTGGTGTCAGTGAACATACGGAGTGCAGTATTTTGGATTTTATGCTCGATGCACGTTTCTGAATATCTGCGTGGCAGGAGGAAATGGTCGCTGCCTGACAATGTCTTGGCTGAGAAGGAAGTGAGTGCAGTCAGCTCAGTTTTACACTTATGATTCCAAAGGAGGGTGCATTATTGCAGAGATCAATCGTAATCTCTTTTTAGGAAAATTTAGATTGTTCCTCTATGCTCTTCTTTTCTTTTGGTTTTCTTCAAGGAGGTAGTGTGCGAATCGCTGCAGTTTTCTCTAGTGTACAATTTGTTTTTGCTCGAATTGTGAAACGTTGTAAAGTAAAGCAGTTAGCGGAGGCAGTCATGAGTACTGACGGTGCTCATGATATAAGACTTAGAGAAAGCTGTAATGCTGGTCACGAGCTCCTGGTTCATGCAGGTTTTCCCAGGCTTTATTGGAGTCTCGCGTAAGGAAGAGAAAATCATTTGAAAAGGACTAAAACTTGCTCTCTTCTTTGATTGTGTCTCTGCTAGGTCATCTCACGAGGAAAAATCGTCCTGGAGTGAAGATACACAGTGTAGGTGCATGCATTTTGATGGAATAATAATTTTTGGGATTCTGATTAGTGCCTTCCTTCCATGGTTCTCAATCTATTCTGGTCGAAGCTAGATGTGAACTTGTCCGACGCTGCTTTAGCATTGCGCTGTAGCGAGAGGAGGATTCTGCCTCTCTCTACCTTAGTATCCCCAGCTTTAAAGGGATCATAGACAATTGACGAGTGCGGGAAGGATGATTTTATAAGTGTCAAAGTTAGCCGTCCTTCCCTTTCCTTTCTTTCTTTGCTGGTGTTTGTTGTGTTTTTGGTGTACGTTCTACTCGGCGTTAGGGGGTGCACTTCTCCAATGAATCGCTTGGAAAGTGAGAGAAAGCCTTTGGTCTTGCAAGGATAAACAAAGCGCTATCACCTAGAAACAATGGATCACAGGTCGATATGCATGCCATGAGACAGTATACACCGTAACCATCTGGACTCGTATAGTGAACGTACGATGGATTAGGAAATAATCTCTTTGTCTACAGGAACAGTTCAATTATGGCCGCAAATCCAGCAGGAGCGCTTGACTGGGATGTAAGAACTTTTGTACATTGCGCCCTCTTGATGATTTCTTCCATTGTTTCTGTCTCCCAGCACTGTGTTCTACAATGCAATCAATTTAGTGCTCTGGTGCGCGTCGATGATTATTGAAACCTCACCTATTCATTATAACCATGAAGATCCAAGCGCATCGAAGAGTTTCAAGAATAGATTTTCACTCATGATTGGCTCTTTTATTATTAATTCTTGAGGACAGCGGCGCATATTGGGGACTTAGACGTTGAAAAATCCCTTAAAAGCACAAATCAATTCAAGGAATTTCAACTTAGTTTGGTTCCATTGATCAAAGAGAAATTGCTATGGTCTATAATAAAGTTGCACTGCTGTACATGTCAATACTACACTGATTGAAGTCCTCTGGTTTAAGGTTTCAATTTCCAGAAAAAAATCTATTTTGCACTTTCTAACACACATCAACCATAATTATAGTCAGCCCTGAGTACGCTGCACTTCTAAGTTGCACAGAGCTCTCGTAGGAAGTGTTAATATTCTTGTGTGCAGTTGGTGAAGGTTCAACTCGATAGCATAGATGATGCCTGGAAGCAGCCTCGATTCGATTCGCTACCCTATGTTGTGGAGGTTATCACATCCCCAAATATTGAGGCCTCAGTGGAGCGATTAAGAGAGACGCGGGATGCTATTGAGGAAATTGTTGATGGAGTTGTCAGACATTATCACAATGGTTTCAACAAGGCTATACATAATTATTCTCAGGTATATGCTGTCATTCGCGTAGCTAGTTACTTGATTCTATAGCCTTATTCTGTTGACGAGCAGTTTCTAACTATATGTCATGGAAGAGATGTGTAACTCTTCCTACTGTCGAAACGACAACAATGCAGTGCGTGCAAGAAGTTCAGTTCTTACGTTGCGTTTAATCATCCTGAGTTAAATCACATTCTTCTTTTATTTTAGACTGATTCTTTTGCTTTTGCGTGCTTTTTACTGAGCCGCCCTACCTTTGTGATGACTGCGCTTTGGTGTTAGATATTACGGGTGTTCAGCGAGTCCGCTGGAAGCTTAGATAGTCTAAAAGAGGATTTGGCAGAAGCACGAAAGTTGCTAGGAGCTCGCCACAAGCAACTCCAGCAGCAATGGTCCCGCTCAGTGACACTGCGTCATGTCATCTCGTTGCTTGATGAGATCGACAAAGTTTCTCAGGTTTTTCATTCTCCAAACCACCAACAACCATAATTCAGTTACATTTCGAATATTTGGTAGGTCCTCATGTGTGTTATGCCAATTGATCAAACGTTCAATAGCTATTCTAAATGTCTTCAATGGTGTAAGAAGAGGTAGTAATATTGGATGCGTCCACCTTGAATGCGGAACAGTGAAAAGAAATTGGAGCTTGATATAAGTTGCAGCATATTCTAGTAAACATGTTCTAGAAGTGGAGTAACTTCAAACAAGAGATTTGAGAATAGCTTCACTCGAGATGGACTCAAGTGATACTTTGGTTTTTGTTTGCTTGGAAAAAATGGTAGTAACAATTTGACGCACTAAACTGTGATTGGGTATGATCTAAGCTTGCGCTGTTGAAGTGGAGCAGGTGCCAGCACGGATTGAAAGATTGGCAGCAGAGAAACGTTACTACGCAGCTGTACAACTTCACCTTCAGTCCATAAGTATGCTTGATCGTGAAGGCATTCAAACGGTAGGCGCTGTAAACGAATGACTGCTCGCCGGCATTGTGGTTTACTAGTTTAATTTTCCTGGAAATACTTGTGGATCTGTTCTTTGAGTAAAAGATGACATCAATATCGAGATTTCGTTAGAGCGTTTTTATGAGATGCGGTAACTGCTAAAACCTGAAAAATTAGCAACTTCCTTTCCTACCATTTGGTCGAGGTTTGGGTTCAAATAAAAATGTATATTCAGGTTACGCAGGGAATTCCTTGTGTCTAGTTCTATTTCTGGAGGTGTCGAGGGCACTAAGAAGTTAACATATCTATTCTAAATTTGGCAGAGGATAAAAACAGTGAATTATGTACTTAACTCTTTCAGCTCTAGATCAAAAACCTTGTATGTGTGATAGTTTGCCTCTCACATGCAATGTTATCTGCTGCACATAAGTCTTCAACTATCTTCAAATTTATCTATATCGCCATCAGTGAGCAGGTAGAGCCTTTGTGCGTCTCAACCACGCTAGAGAATAGACTTTTTCCACGGTCGAATTACTGTAGAAATCTTTTAGTTCTGGGTTAATATGGCATGTAGTTTATTGTTCCTTCTTCTAAAGGAGAAGCGCGCAGCACTAGATTGATTTCTTGTCCTTAGTGTTTCAGGTAGGAGCACTTCAGGATGTCCGTGCGGAACTAACAAAACTTCGTGGAGTACTTTTTAGCAAAGTTGTTGAGGACTTGCACCTTCATCTGTACAACAGAGGCGATTACAGGTGAAACTCTTTGGTTAAAATGTCGATTCCTTGTTTCCGAAAGGCTGGAATTGGTGAGACTTAATTCTTTCTGCTTCACCTCAAAATCCCTGCAGGATTGTTGATCATGTCATGAGATGTGCAGTGCTAATGTGAAGGCCACATGATGATTTTTATGAACTACCAGATCATTGCCTGATAGTAAAGGAGTTCTAAATCATGTCTCTAATACATTGAAATTTCCCCTCATGAGCTTATATCAAAACACAACTAATGCTAAGCGTTCCATCAAGTTCTAAACCCTGAGTTGTTGAACTACCCACACTTTTATTTCCAGTGTACAACTTCCAAATTAAATTGAATTAACTGGTTCCTTGGACTTCTTTTCTCGATGACTTGGATTTTTGGGCTCAGCCCACGGTTGTCAGAAACAATGGTTGTTTTTATGAGTTCTCTCGATAGAGTTTGATTTTTTTTGGTATGAAAACAGCATGAACTTGGCCACAACCCATGAGCAAGATGATGATATCACCAGTATCGTCCCGGCTGCTGTTCCTGCTGTCGGCAATTTGCAGCCTGTGTCCCGGCGTACTCGAACCCTGACTCGTAACCCATCCTCAATTTCCAGTGTGGAGCGGCGTCGTACTAGTTCAGACAGGTAAGTCTTTTTGAACGGAACTGTAATTTCTCTTTCTTTTCTTTTGCATTGAAGTGAGGCTTCTACGGAGTTTTTGTGGTCCTCCTATTCCGTAGTTCTAACGTTCGAGCTGCTGCTGAACTTGGAGTTGCTTATAGCCAGTCAGTGGAGAACGAGTTTGCAACGGCATGCGATAATGCCGATGGTTCCACTGATGATATACGAGTATCCAGTAACGCTAGTGATGATTCCGCAGCCAAGGAGGCTGACGAAAAAGCTCGATCCCATCCTCCATGGTTGTCTGAGTCAATACCAAATGACTTTACGGTAAGTCAACAACATTAGCGGCGCTATTACTAGTCTGCTAAGTTTCGCTTTCTTGTTTGGTTCTCTAGCATTACAGAACATTAATATTTGAGAGTGGTCCTTTCGCACGAGTTCAGAAAAGGAGAGGTTCTTAATTCTAACTTCTGTGCAGGAGGCTCTTTTGAAAAGCGATGCACCTTCAGGTGTGAAATACTTGCAAACGATGGTAGAATGCCTTTCATTGCTGAGAAAAATTCCAGAAGGAGGTTCCATAATCAGGTATGTTCCTGATGATTACCAAACTTCTGAATATCTGTTTACAAACTAATGCTACAAATGAAAATTTAAATAAAAAAATGTAAGCTTTCTCTGAATATGGCTTGAGCGAATGCCTCCGTCGTTTGTTCCCTCAGTTAAATTCTTGTATTCACTTCAAGCGTCTTCACATATAAAACATCAAATCTTTTTTTTTTTTTCTTTTTTTCTTTTTTTCTTTTCCTGTTAGTGTCAGATCTATTGTACCCATTTGCACAGCTGACTAGTTGCACCTGCTTTTTGACAGCCAGAGGCTTAGACCGACGCTGCATGAGCTAATTACTTCAGAAATTAAAGCACGGGCTAAAGCGATTGAAGCCTGCAGGCCCCGCGTTGATGAGGCCCAGAAGCTCTTAGAATCCAGCATTATGGGCAAGTATTCCACGTCCGGGCAGAAGAAGGTGAAGAAAGAAATCTCTTCAACTGCAGATGCTGGGCCAATGTCCAAACTACAAACTGCTGCTCAAGAGCTTCTACAGTCGGTTCTGACTCTTGTGTTGCAAATACTGGGTACCCACCATTTCTTTAAACAGTAGTTTGGGTTCTTACTTGATGTTAATCAATGTAACGGCAGCTTGTAGTGTGATATTCTGTTGTTCTGATTAGATCCATGAGGTGACGACTGAAAAATATTTCTAGTTCTGCCATTTTATCGTCAAAACGAAAAGAATCCAATCCAAAATTCTGCACTTTCTGACCAACAGAAGTACTTTTAGATTATTGCATTTATTTATAGCGTAGTGAGGCTTAATCGATTGATATAGAATGCTTTTGGGTGTAGAGAATCATGTTGTAGTGGGGCAATTGATGGAGGCGAAAGAGCACTCCTTTCTGACGTCTAATGGTCATGCCTCTTGGAGCAATGATGTGGAGGTGAGTCAAACCGAAGGAAACCACAGCCTTGGAGGTGTTCTTACAGTCATTCAGGTATGAGAGAGCTACTTAACGCACTGTTAGCAGTTATTCCCTATTGAAATAAAAGTTCTGTTACCATGAAGTCTTTTATGCTCTGAAGAGTTTTTTCAAATACTCAAACAATCAACCACGGACTTTTATTTCTCGAAAATCTTACTGGCGTGCAGAGTGAAGTCCAGCAGCTAATATGTGATATCTTGCGTGCTACACCGGATGCCACATCAGCTGAGTCTGCAGCACAAACAGCTCGTCTTGCTAGCAAGACACCTATTACCAATTTCAAGTATGATCTACTAACACAGCCTGCAAATCCTACTGTTACCTCTACTCTTATGAGACATTACTTCATAAATGATCTAACTTTCGGTGTCGTACCTAGAAACTTCCTCCTCGCACTCTGGACAAATATATTTATTTTTTGTTGTGGATTCCAGGAATCCTTTCGGGGTCAAAAACAAGGAGGAAAGGTATGCTGCATTTATCATACACCATTCTGAATGGGGTGATCGATTTTTGTTTTCTTAGAATACAGATAATTTGGCCTTATTCTGGTTAGAAAGAGCCCTTTAAGGATCACTTGGCACATTATTCAGAGTTAAATTTCTCATGTTAGCGGATGCAGCAATGGAGGGTCTGAGGAGGGGCTGTCGTTTGCCTTTCGCTTCACTGATACTATTCTGACACCACCTGGTAGGTATTTCCCGTGTATAGTTACAACAAGTATTACCTCCACATCATTGCTCTTATTAAGGATCAAGAAAGAATTCTTCATACACCTTTTATTTTTCAAGTTCCGATAGATTTGTAGTCTACCCAAGCTGACCATAATATTTTCGAATCTCCTGCTCATTTTGTTAGTCCTCATTGATTGATGATATCAAAGGGCTATATAGACAATGAAATCAAAGGGCAGTGTAGACAATAAAATCCATTTTGATCGTACTGCTGTCCTCCAAGTCAATTTCTCATCATTCAAGTTCAGTCTGCACTGGTTCGCTATGCAACAAAAATCAGCTGTTAACAAACATATGATTGTGTTCAGGCCAAACCGAACTAAAAAGTAGTGGCAGCCTTCGACGTGGGCACAACCGCAAGCGTTTACCTGCTTCTCAAGATGGCTATGGTACAGGTGCTGTACTCTCGGAGCGTGGGATCTACCTAACTTCTGCTATATATCGACCTATTCTCCAGGTATGAAGTATTGCTCTAATCCTCTAAGAGATATTCCATTATTCTCTATTGGGTGGTAAAAACTTATTTCTGATTCTTGGATTCATGTCGATATCTAGTATATCAATGTAAGACGAATAACTCGTAGTAACTCTGAGATTGAAATTTTTGTGAGTTATATGTTATGCCTTTGATGGTTAGATGATTGACTAACATTTTTCTCATCATGCATTATCCCTTTCGCGTTCCCCTATGCCAACTCCTGAACCAATTTGCTGCTGTGTTTTGTGCAGTTTATTGACAAAATGGCTTCGTTACTGCCTCCAAAGTACTCGTCATTGACGTGAGTGGGTAAAACCGTCACAATATTTGTTGAAGTTCTCTCTTTTAGAAATCTTTGTATACGTAGCACTATATTGTCTTCAATATGGAATCCAGGAGTTGATGTCGCTTGAGATAGACTATATATGCTGACGTTTGGTGTTATACGAACAGGAATGATGGGCTACAGAACTTCATCGAAAAGTTCGTGAAGAATCAGTTTCTACCCATTGTGCATGTTGACTATAGAACTCGAGTTGCAGACGCTCTTGCCAGTAAGTCTACAGACCTGGCATCTGCGGAAATTCAACGCACTTCACATTTCCTCCTGGAGGAAAACTGCTATTCTACCAGTTTTTACTTATGTTTTAACCATGCTAATTTTGCTCAGGCCCTTCTGCATTTCGACTAAAAGCGCATCCAGGTGCACTCTACGAAGATAGTGTTGAGAAGGGCAGGCCTGTACTCCAAGGGCCAATAGCTGCAAACCATCTTGTCACCGAGGTATTCGAGTTCTACTCGCACTTCAATCCTCGGCAATTTGAGTGATAGAACTAGTGTGATGTTTAGATAAATAATTACACATAAGAATAGGATGTTTTATTGGAAAATATTTAATTGAGACTTCCCTGCATTTCCCTCACATCTGGTTAGCAATGAGACATTCTTACCAAGTGTACCCCTTCGCATCCACTCTCATCTACAGGATCTTTTTATATTCCTAGCAGTTTATGGGAACAAGTTTGAGATTTGTTCAACACTCGTTTCTGAAAGAGAGGAGAGGAGAAGATGGTTGCGCATTGGAGCTAAAGCATTGGGAACATTTTTTTCTTCAATTGTATTGTAAACTGACCGTGAAGCATGAAACGATTGTGTGTTTTTATTTTGGTATCATTGCAGGTGCTTGGATGGGCTCAGGCAATGCCCAAGTATGCAAGTGAGATATTAGAACTTGTCCAGACTCTTCTTGACCGGACTCTTGAACGTTGCCGTGCTGTGTATACTGAAGTAAGAACAAAACACCAATTCTATGATTTGTATTGAGAATACGAACTGAATTCTTCAGTGGATTGAGAATGTTTTTTTTTTTCGACCGTGGTTTTGCTCTTAGAGCAGCCTTATCACAAGTTCAGTAGTCGCTGTTTTTTGAATGAAATACATTTCTTGGATGATCCAATTTCCTTTTATCATCGCAGTAGGAATACTCTATTATTACAAATGTGCCTTGTTCTACACAAGTTTCCTATGTATCCACATTTTGATACGTTTGGTTGTTTCTGACATGCATACTAAGATGTACAACTTCTGCAGGCAGTCTTAGGAAGCTTAAGTTCCACCGTGATTGGTCGTCCTGACATATGTAATTTAATGAAGCAAGAACCTGCAAACCAACTTCTGGAGGCCACCTATCTCAATCAGCTTGGATTTAAGGATGGTCCTTCAGTGGATATTGAAGGAGCTTTAGAAGTGGAGATGGAGCTGAATAACCTTCTTCTTAGTCTGCGACCTATCCGCAAGGTTAGTGACACACTCTTGCTGCCATCTCCTGAGCTCGATATGCGATTGATCTGAATTCATTGTTTGTGGAAAGATTCAAATTGATTTGAAATGGAATTTTTTTATTAATTCAGCTCGATTTTAGGGGTAATTTTCCATCATTTTTTATTCTCTCCAGTTTCATCTTTGCTTAGCAACTGTCTAGTCATCTCCGCAACCATGGAATACTTTTCCGTCTGACTTAGTCTTCCTCTTTTCTTTTCTTTTTATGTAAATAGGAGCAACTTATTAGTGACCACCACAAACTGGTACTGCTGGCTGGACTTAGCGACTCGCTGGATTTTGTGTCGGAATCTGTACAGCAGTAAAATTCCTACACCTCCACTTCACCCCCTTAGACATCCCATGAAATTTTGTAACGTGCAACTTGCTTCATTCCTGCTGTTATGCATTACGATGGGTTCAGTTTCTCTGGAGAGACCATAATTCCGGGAGTGGTGATTTAAAATAATGATATTACGAACATACGTCATGTGTTCCTTTCCAAAGAGAGGGAGTTGAGAAAACACGCCAGACGTCAATGTAGCCTTTTCTCTCAACGCCCTCTTTTTGGAACTTTCAAGAAAAACTGTTCTGGCGTTACACCCAGTTATAGAAAATTGGATTTAAGATGAAGAGAACGATAAACAAATGCCAATTTTCTGGCTCTTGGCCTGGTGCAGGTTGGGACAACATAACAATGCAGCCCCATCTCCAGCTCCTTCAATGTCAAGGAGAAACTTAACCCAGTCTCCCCAGATCCGCCATCGGAGGACAAACAGCGCTCTGACCACGGGCCTAGGTATCCTGGCTGAAAAGTATCGGATGCTTTCCTGTGAATGCCTGCAAACTTTGAGGGTCGAAATGCAGCTCGCTACGATCCATCATCTTCAGGTATGCACTTAATGGATATTATGGCTTCTACTGGAAAAAATCTAAAACTGGTTTCATCGTCAATTTATCCTGTTGATCACAAACTGAGAAGGGTTTTGCATGGAAGATGTCCTTGATTGATTCGGTTGATTCCATAACCTGCAAAAGTGGGCTCTCAGTTGAAGGACTCAGATGGCTAATATCATTGCATGCTCAGTTCTTCACTCACTCGACTGTAATGTACCTGTGTGGCAGAGTATGGCAGGGCGGCATTATGTCAGAGATCAGGATGCGGAGGAACCAGAGGACTTTATTGTAGCCCTTACATCCCAGGTGCTTCAATTTCTACTCGTCACGTGCTGAACTAAGTCCGCCATGTTTACCCTGTCCTTTATGGACATCTCTGATTTTGTTCATCCTACTCTTTTTCAACTATATTTGGGAACAGTCACTTACTCTTTGAGGGCAGGCTGAACCAAGCCGTCTATACCTTTAAACAATCTTTCTTATGACGAAAAGCTTCAAGTTCTTGCACAATAGCTTTGCGTAAGAGTCATTTAATTTGGAAATTACAAAACGAAATCACGTAAAGTGAAGGTGATAAACAACACTGTTGAATTGCACCAAACCTATGAAGGTTTTAACTACTCATCACCAGTCACAACTTATGAGGAGCTGGAATTTCACAACTTTGATTTCCGTCCTTTTATGTCTTGATTGATTCACATTTTCCATTGTCATTTACGTCTGATGATTTGCGTTGCTAATGAGATGGTGTTGGATGTAGATCCAAAGAGTAGCTGAAGAGATGGCTGCATACATGCCACCTTCGAAGAGGAGCTATATATTTGGAGGCATATGTAGTGTGTCTGCCGCAGCCTTTATCAAGGTTTGTCTTACTATTGTCCGAGTCCTGGAGCACCTCAGATAGTAAAAGTATATGTGATGTACTTGGATTTGAGATATTAGTCGCGCTCCGTTTTTCGACATCCCATCAAGAAGAAATCCATCAATATAAGATGAATCAATGTCCTAGTAATTTGCTAGCCCGGCCTTCAAGAATTTTGTTTTATGCATGACACCAATTAAAAAAACTAAAGATGCTATTGCAATCGTTGTTTAAGGATAGAAATTTCATGTTGATATTGAATTTTGGTGTTGTTTGTGCAGGCTGTGACCAACATGGATGCCATTAATATGCTAGGTGTACGACAAGTCAATCGAAACTGCATTGCTCTTCAGCAGGTTCACTTGAATCCCAAGCTCTATTAGCCTATCATCATTCTGACGTGCATCTGTGTTTTGCATGTTAGCAACGTGTGGACAATTGGATATGGATGTGGCTGATCTCCAATACACTTGACGTTGTCATTGTGGCTTTGATGAAAACCCAGGCATTGGCATCACTGGTGGCGAGCAGTGGAGAGTTTCTCGAAGAGCGACTGGACCGTGTCCGAACCTATTACGATCTGCTGACGATTCCCTTTGAGGTGAGTGGTGTCGATCGTCTTCTGTTTTGGCGCATACCCATGATTTGCACGTGATTTACCTTATTTATCTATTTTTCGGTGTGTAATGATAACCTCACGCACAGGACCCCCAGTAGAGATGTTCTTGAATTCCTGAGTTCCTTCAAATTAGATAGTATCTAAACCTGAGGTTTTGTTGTTGCAGGCGTTAATAGCTCTCGTGCCAGAGAATGATGCCATATTCAGCTTAACGGAGTGAGGATCTATGCTCCTTTAACGATTTTTACATGTTTCTGATAATGTATTTTTAAGAAACCAGGAGGGTTGTTCAAGGTCATTTGTAAAACTCAGGAAGATTGTAAATTTGTCTACCCAATTTGTAGTCGGCTGACTTATTTCTTTAGACATGACTTGCGTCAAGCACTTGGCAACTACATCTAACACTGAATTTGAAACATGATGCAGGTACTCTGCCTTGTTGAAGGTTAATGTTCCAGGCAGGGAAATACCAGCCAACGCTGTGCAACGCGTTGCCAAAATTCTTGCGCCCACGCGTTAACAGCTCAGGAAATATCCTTTCGCTAATACGGGAAGTTGAAGCTATCCAAGGCGAACGCAGCGCATCATTTTTTATTCCTTTTTCCCCAATAGCTTCACACAGGAGAACACCATCAGTCATGAGTTGGTGATTTGCGATTGTTATCCTCGAGCAATGATTTTTCCTGGTCAGTGCTCTTTTGTAATAAGTTGATAGATGAGTAATCTATCATTGGGTTGGGAGTTTCTTGTTACCGTAAGTTTCACAACTGGGCAACTTATGCTGCAAAACCATGCACAACCGCACAGGAACTTAACTTGGATGTTGAATTTCAAGCGTCGCTTGAAGAGTTATCCATCGTTACTGAATTCAGTAGCATAACCTTGCTTTGTTTCCCAGAGTGGTTGGCGTTGGTGAGCAATAGTCACCTTCAACGTTCAACGTGCAGTGGCAAAAAAAAATCTCGTTTCAACTACACTATTTTGATCCTTCGATTGGTTTACCTTCGTGATGACAACTCAAAGCTCCCACGACACCACAAGGTTACAGACTTGCAAAGCATCATACAGCCCCAAATCTGAACGTAAGAAACAAATATGTGAATACAACCTTTCGAGGTAATAAGTTCTTGTTGGAACTCAAATACATGTAGACTCTGCGAAGTCAATCTATCCGCCGCTATTTCTTTGCAGCTCAAGGACGGACACCCTGCAATCATGTCCGACACAAATGACCTCAACATCAATTGCTGCTGCAGTCCTGTTATTTTAAAACCCTAAATTCTATTCCACACGCAAACCCGAACCCACGAATATCGAAATCACATTCGAGCAAAGCAAGACAAGGAAAGGATTGATTGTTGCCGAAAGAGGTGAAGAGAGAGTGTTGGGTGTGTGGGTAGAGGCTTGATGAACACGAACAGCCCAGCGTGGCGAAGAACAATGCAGAAGCGAACCCCGCACCAACGCAAAAACGGGAACATTCTGGGGCGATGGACAACGCCTCTCACACCATCGAAGCAAAACCAGGCTCAGTCAGGCAGTCAGTCAGTCAGAGTAAAATAAGTCAGTCGCACTCTCAGCCGCATTCCCATTTCTAGAGCTTCCATATCGGCCGGTCGACCAAGGGCAAGGCAACGCCGCGAGCGTTGGTCCAGTCCTTGCAATTCCCCAGCAGCTGCATTGCATGATGGGCGTTGCAGGCGCAGGATCAGCAATGACAGAGACGTGCAGGAACGAATTAAGGAGTGCATTACGAGCCCAACAATCACATTCATATCTCAGCAGAGAAACCAGCAAGAGATCAAAAAGAAAAAGAAAAGAAAGTAATAAAACACACACACAGACACACACAGAGAGAAGGTCCTGACTCCCTTTCCTTTTTCCTTTTTCCTTCCTTCCTCTTCCTCCTCTTCCACAGCAATGGCGTAATGGCGATAGTACCACAGCAACGCAGCAAAGAATGAATTGTAGAATGGTACAGTGAGGGCGACGGCATCATCAAACAGGGTCCTGAATTTGCTTCTCAGCTCATCAACCCAACCCAGTAAGTAAGTACATCCATGACTCATGCAGGCAGCAGGGGAGCCACGTTTACCCCCCGGGATGGATGGGACCACGCCCCACGCCCCCTCCCCCTCATTCACTAACTCACTTCCTGTGTCACTAATCAAACTCACTAATGCAACCCACTAATCTCCCCTGCCGCCAGGTCGGGCCGGGTGGGTTAAAACGCAACCCCACCCACTGGGTAACTCTGCCTGCCAGAGGAGGTGGGGGGGGGCTATCATCAAGGGGGGTCGTCGTGGATGTAAAAAGCAGCCCTTTGGATGAATAAATGTCACGAATTCATCCTTGTTTTCACCACTCCGTTTGGTTGCAAGGGCCTGCAACTTGACGAGGCTAGTCAGCTTTGAATTTTTCGATATATATATATATATATATATATATATATACTCATAAACATAAACATATTTTTGTTGATTTGGATTCTTAAATCATGAAAAATTTGTGATCATATAATATAAAAAGTATGGACTCAAAAGAATTTGAATAAATGAATGGTAGTGAAAACTTTTGAGGTTTGTTTCATGGCATTGGAAACATTGCCTCCAAAAATGAGGTATAATATTTTGTGTGTATTATTATTTTTTATTCTTAAAATAATAAAATTTGAAATGTATATATATATATATATATATATAGAGAGAGAGAGAGAGAGAGAGAGAGAGATGTTAAAATGACCCACCCATTTACAAAATTGACCCATCCTATTCTAGGGAAGAAGGGGGAACATGTAGGGTTGAGATGAGAGCTAGAAATGGGGGGAGGGAAACAAAAGGGATTGGGAACAAAAGGAGCACGGGCTAGGACCAATGGGGGTTGGGAAGTGGACCATGATTGTAACAATGGTTTTTAGAGATGATCCATTTTTTTAATAATAATTATGATAAGGTGGATTGATTTAGTAAATGGATGGATCATTTTAACATTTTAGATACATATACAAATTAAGAAATTATGTTTACAAATTTCATATTGTCATCTATTTTGTAGATTTTTTATATAAATTTCATCAAATAAGTATTCTAATAATGTCTTAGTAACAAAAATTTATTTATATTTAATTAAGTATTATCAAAACTCACATGCAAATAGATAAGCTAAGTTGCAATTTTTGGTGTATGTTTAATTACTTGATTGATTGATGAATCCACATATTCATGATTTGGCACCTTCTTGCTTCCTTTACAAAAAGCTTCATGACTGATGCCAGAATTTAGTTTAGGCAGCTTCATCATCAATTGTATGTAATCAAATTGATTGGTCATTATTTTAATGATGTTATCATATGCAACAGCAACAAAAGTATTATATATATATACTTATTTATTTATATATGTTACCTTAATGTATTGAAATACTATGCAATTCAACACAAGAGACTAGGCAAATCATCTAACCATAAATTAAGAAAAACGTGTTTATATATATAGGAACAAAAAATAACTGGTTATATCTTTGTTGTGGACATGGCAAACCGACTTGCAACCAAATTCTAATTATTTGTGTACATAGGTGGGTGTATCTACACTTACTTGTTTAAACATTCTTAAATTTTATAAATTTTTATTCAACATGAATTTTTTTTGACTAAGTAATGTTCTTATAGATGTTGGACATTTGTGTTGTAATTGTACATTTATAGTATAAATATACCTTTGGTGGAAAGGGCCACTCCCATATTGCCGCTTAGTATTTACATGTAGCAACTTATAGGAAGATACACACATTGACCTTCTAGGGGTAATGTCACGGCCATAATCATGTAAGCTAATAATTACATATAGAAATAGGTAGAAGTAAGTAAAAGTAGATAAAAGTAAGTTAATTCTATAATATTTAATATAGAAGCTTCCTAGAAACTTCCTAGACGCTGCTTTGACTTCATAGGTGTCTTTAATTGACTTTTTGGATTAGAAACGTGGTCAACAAGTTGGCCATGTGCCACACATGTTGTTAGCTTGAAGATCAAGCTAACTATGTGGCCCACACGTAGAAAAACTTGCCTTGTAAGTCAAGGCATGTGTCCTACAAAGTCAACACATATTGGAGGTCCTATAGGACGTCGCCACGTAGCCCCTAGTTAGATAGTATATATAGAGACAAGAGTGAAGGCTTCTTCACTCTTGTCAACTCCTTTCTTGCTTCTAGTCCAGGTTCAAGAGTCTTTAGTTTCTTGTCTTGTGGCAATAGCCATTCCAGTTTCCTTTTAATATACCTACTTGTTTATATTTTGACTTATTATATCGAGATAGCCTTTTGGTGTATATTTTCCCTCATCGAGTCTTTGTCCTTGACACAATCACAGAGTACACTTACAATATCAGAGCTTTGTTTCTTCTTGAGTAAGAGTGGATTACCCCTTTCTCTTGACAAGACATAAGCGTATTAAAAAGAAATAATATGAAGTTTTTCATTCTTAAATTTTGCAGTGCTGATACATCAATACAACCTTTGCATACAGGACTTGTTAATTTGACATTATGCTTTCCAATCATATTTTTTTAAAGTTCTAGTCACGGAATTGATTTTTGGCAGTTTGGTTTGGAAATCCTAACAGTTGAAAAATTGATCAATTTTTTTTATTTTTTACTTTTATTTTTTGTAATTGTAAAGTAAGAAACTTACTGATGATGTTTTATTTTAGAAGTGGATGATTCTACCATATTATCAAATATTGATTGAAAGTTTATTTCTAAGAAAAAACATTGTCTACTGGGAAAAGGAGATTTATAATAATATTTAATACTACTTGACGCATTTTTTTTTAATTTTGAAACTTGATTATAACATGTCATACATGATTTTTAAATAAATACTCTCTAAAGTAAAATTTCTTAGCTATTTATGATTTACATAGTTAAAATGTGTTGTGTTTTGTATCTATTGTTTTCTAATGAATAGTAAGCTTCTTATTTTCAAGTGATTTATCTTTTCCCCTTTTCGTGTACCATGATTATAGAATATTCTTGAGCCTCTGTGAAATTAATTTAACTCAATAAATCGGGATCTCAGTGTTTTTAAAAATTAAAAAATCTACAACAAAATGGTCCTTCTAGTTGATGTATGGATCTCTTTCCATTAAGATTTCAAATACACCATACATAGAAAAAAATATTTGAATATAACTGCAACTTCAAAGGGATCATATGTTGAAATCACTTTAATTATTTTAAAAAATGGTTTGTTGTAATCAATATCAGTATTTGACATAAGAACCATCTTTTAAGCACTCCATGAAACGTCTGTTTTTTGTAAATATTAATAAAATCTTCTTGTATTCAATAATAAATATGTCAAATGTCCAAGTTCTACTCTGAATACAACTTTGATAACACAATGTTTTTATCTTTCACTTTCAAGGATGATACTTTAATAATAAGTAAATCAATAAACAAAAACCAGAAGCTTTAATATTCTAGACTATTTCTTTTGTAGCTGTATGAAAAATACTTATTATATAGAATTAAAACTCAATTATTGCTTAAAGTAAGAAAATCAAACTGTATTCATTCATCACATGTTTCTTTGCTAATGCACACAATTCTGAATGTGTTGGTGTATGTTGAGTTGAATAATTATATTGTGGTTGGAACTTATCAATGTCCATGTTTAGAATCTTGCCATTGGATGCAATTTATTAAAAATAAGATTTAGTATTTAGTTATTGTAGGTATTTCTTGTCAACTAATTTGCATAATTTTGTAAGAAAATCTCTTACTGAAATTAAAATTGACACCTATATATTGTATATTTGATTTCATTTTGTGCACAAAATGCCATTTTAACTTATATATTAATCCCAATGTGTGTGTGTTTATATATATATATA